ACACACACACACACACACACACACACACACACACACACACACACACAAATTCACCAGTTTTAAAGTAATTGAATAGTAATTCAATATTTTGGTGAATATTATCCTATTGTATGTAGCCAATTCCTTACTGCCGGGCATGGCATTTAAACAATTTTAAGACTTTCTTTCTGTCTCTGTGTAGAAAAGGGTTTAGAACTGAGGGGCTTGTATACTAGACAAGTACTTTACCTTTGAGTTATAGCCCAGCCCTTAATTCTAATCTGCACTATAACAGCTAGAATGAGCACCATCTTTTCCAACTCACCTATCAGTTAAGTTTTGTTAGAGATTCATACACCTGTAGCTACATCATTTACATCATTTATTCATGTATGTACATATGTACATAATCTACCATCACACTTTTATAAGCTTGGCCTATCACCTGGATCTTGACTTTTAAATGCCATTTCCTTTAATAGAGCCAGAGCACCCATGAAAAATGGCTTATTCCAGAACTAGTTAGGGCCAGGCTTGGTGTCGCAGGCCTGTAAACCTAGCTCTCGGGGAGGCAAAGGCAAGCGGATCTCTGTGTGTTTGGGGCCAGCCTGGTCTATAAAGAGTCTAGGACAGCCAAGGCTACACAGAGAAACCCTGTCTCAAACAACAAAACAGAACAACAACAACAAAACCCCAGCTCATTAGGAAAAATACAACATCCTATTGTGCCAGGAGTAACAAAGATGTTCAAAGGTTATCAGGGAGTCTGTAGGAGAGACAGGGTGCCCACTTGATGGGCTTCCTGTGACCATTGTTTACACATCAAAAGAAATGAATTACAATAGTTTGTTTTATAGTATAGAACAGTGAAATAGGACTGTTCTCAAATTAAATTCTCAGTGAAATAGGACAATTCTCAAATTAAAATTGCTTCAAGGAAGCCAGCAGGACAATAATTATTACAAAGAGAAAGAGCCAGTTCTTATGTGACGCCCAGCATCAGTCCTCAATCACACATCATCAGTAAATAACTTGAAGCTATGACATCTCAGAGGATAACGTCTCCTCTGTGGTATTCCTGCTAAAGTTGCATAATCTGTATCTGTCTGACAAAGCCAGACTAGAAGCATTCTGTCAGTTAGCTGGCTGACACTTGCCAATAAGTGAGGTCCTGAAATCCAGAGGAAGCTGAAGAGCACCGCAGAAGCATGACAGCAGACGGCTTGGTGGCTCCTGTCTACTATGTGTAACGTCCCTAAGACAAGCAGGAAGACAGGAATGAACCTGAGATTAGATGATGGCCATCTACTGTGCTCATGTCTGGTTGTAGCGTTCTTAATAGGAAATACAAAAAGGTTGAAGGTGATTGGACGCCACTGGCGGTTTCCTCTCAGTTTGGAGGAATTCTTTTTATTATATTCTCACTTTTCTTTAACTGTATTATTATTTCTAAATTTAAAATTTGTAAAGAGCCATATTCTGTGTACTGAATGTTAAAAAGCTAGTCCTCCAGAAGGGGCACAGTTAGACAGATCCTGTAAGCTCTTCATTGTCAGAAAATATGCTTGATAATTCTGAAAGCAAAAGCAAAACGGCAGCATGGGTACTTAGATGGGATTGTAGAGTATAGGCCAGTTATTTCCAAAAGCTGGAAATTTTTGTTTATACATTGATCTTTCTCACTTGAGAAATAGATAAAAGAAATAGATAAATTCCCTAAGCTGTAATATGACTTTGGATCATAGAATAGTCATTATCAGGAAGGGTTGTTGATTATGGGTGCTGGAGAGATGCATTAGTAGTTAAGAGCATATACTGCTCTTCCAGAGATCCAACTTTGGGTCCCAGCACACATTAGCCAGGTCACAACCACTTGAACCTCCAATTCCAGGGCATCTGGTGCTCTATTCTGGACACTATGGACACTGCATTCACATAGATATACACGATACACATCATTTTTCTTTTAACCTTTAAAAAAGGTTGTTTTTTTTAATTTTATTTTTCTTATTAGTTACATTTTGTTAACTCTGTATCCCAGCTGTATCCCGCTCCCTCCTTCCCTCCCCAATCCCACCCTCCCTCCCTTATCTCCCCCCTGCCCCTTTCCAAGTCCACTGATAGGGGAGGACCTCCTCCCCTTTCATATGACTCCGTTTTGTCAGGTATTTTCAGGACTGGCTGCAAAGCTCTCCTCTGTGGCCTAACAGTACTGCTCCTCCCTTGTGGGGTGGGGAGGTCAAAGAGCCAGTCATTGAGTTCCTGTTAGAAATAGTCCTTGTTCCCCTTACTATGGGAAACCAACTGATTACTGAGCTATCACAGGTCACATCCGAGCAGAGGTTCTAGGTTTTATCCTCTCATGGCCTTTGGTTGAGTGTCCATCTCAGAAAAGACCCTGTGCCCACATATGTTTGGTCCTTGTGGAGCTCCTATCCTTTTTAAAGCCAGGCATGTTGGCGCACACCTGTAATCCCAGTACTGCGGGAGGCAGAGGCAGGAGGATCTATGTGAGTTGGAGGCCAGCCTGGTCTACAAAGAGAATCCAGGACAGCCAGGGCTACACAGAGAAATCCTGTCTTAACAGACCAAAACAAAACAAAAGAGTTGTTGACTAAAAGGACCCACCTTCCTATTGAAAGGAATTTACACTTGTATTGGAATTTTTATTGCATTTGCATTCAATCTTTTTAAAGATTTTTATATGTATGAGTGTTTGCTCCTGTCACTTTTTGTTGTTGCTGTTGTTTTCTTTTAAGATAGGGATTCACGCTGTGGCTCTGGCTGGCCTGGAACTCACTATGTAGACCAATCTGTCCTCAGACTCAAAGATCTGCCTCCCTTGCCTTCTAAGTGCTAAGATTAAATACATGCACCACCATGCCTGGCTCTCTAGTGATTTTTAAAGGAAAAAACTCTTGAGAAATAGTGTACTGAGCTGGAGGTACAGCTCAGTGGTACAGTACTTGTCTAGCATGTGTAAGGCTTTGAGACTGATCCCTAGGCACACACAAAATGTCCACAGAAATGATAAGTGTACACACACACACACACACACACACACACACAAATGAGGCCATAATTCACTGGCAATAATTGTAGTTTCAAAAGATGCCCTGTCTGAGAATCCTAGAGAGTGTCTAGTCTTCTAAAGTCATTTCTTTGTGGTTTTGCAGAGACCTGGAGGCAGACAGCCAAAAAGATTTATGATGGTATATTAACACATAGGCAGAGTACCAGAGGGGAATCCACCAACTTCACACAGGGTTAGACAGTCATTACACAGGGAGGAGGCTCATTCACAGCCAGGTTGTGCTCCCGTTCCTGTGCAGTTCAGTTGGTGCTCTGAACCACAGGGCTCCGAAAACTACCTTCACAAAGCATGATTATGAAGCTAGCACACTGGGTCTCACCATGCGCACTTCAAGCAAACTTGCCCTTAGAAAGATAAGAATGTCTGTGGATATAGCCAGTGGTCTTTGACCCTGTAGAGCCGACAGCGCAGAGATTCTGTACCAGTGTGCTAGACCCTCTTCTAAAGCTGCATCTCACCAGAATGGCTGGTGGCTGCTCTTAAAGCCACTTCTGAACCGACTTCACCAGTAAAGCAGGTTCTCCATTTATAGTTGAGCTTACATAGAGGGAAAGGAACCTTGTCTGTCCATCAAAGTAGACAGTGGGTCAGAACTAAGGCCACATGACAGCTTGGGGGGGGGGGTCTGTGTGTGAGTTGGTGTGTGTGTTCACTCCCTCGGATGGTATTTGATAACCAGGGAGCAGCCCAAGAGAAGGCAGGCAGACAGCGCAAAGTGGTCAGTGAGTGCCCAGTCCTAACCCAGCAGGCTGGGTCAGACACTAGGCACCTCTCTGTCTTTATTAGAACATTCTTTCCATTTTTGTTTCCTTCCATGTCCTTCCATACACCCACTTTTCATGAAAAGAATGGTAATTTTTTTCTGTCAGTGTGTCCACTCCTGTCTCTGGAAATGGTTAACTAAGTTGCAGTGGGGCAGGGGTGGTGTTTTGTTGGTTTGCTTCTGTGTATGGTTTGTGCGATGTTGCTTTGCCAGAATCATTAAGCAGCTCTGTGTTGAGACAGCCCACCCCGCTGCCTCATCTCACTATTTTCTATTCAATGTAGGCTCAGGTTCAGAAGACTAAGGACCTGCTCAATAATGTGGCCTCTGATGAAGCCAACCTAGAAGCTAAAATTGAAAAGAGGAAATTAGAACTGGAAAGAAATCGGAAGCGACTACAGACCCTGCAGAGTGTCAGGTAGAGTAAGAGCAATGTCTGGAAGGTAGAAATAAGCCTGGAAGAATGTAAGTGGCACCAGCTGTCCACATATCACAAAGCAGTCGTATACACAGAGACGCTGTACAGTTTCCATGCTGCCTGTCCTAAAAGCAAACTGATCCACTCACTCTCTGCACTGCTTTTAACATGTCTGCAACATGGCCGAACTCTGGAGCCCGCATTAAAGTTTTTATGGTTTCTTGGAATATGAGACAAAGTAAATCCAGATGGTGGGATTTATACCAAGCTTGGCCTTCTAAAATCTTGCCATAAATTAGATTGAAACAGAACATACTTCCATCTTTTGGTTTGAATAGATTTTGGACTTTTCACTTTGTTAATTCCTCACCTGTCAGCAATTTATTTTTCTACAATTTTGGCTCAGTGGAAAAACAGTTCCACTTAGAAGTCTCACAGTGGCCAGAACATTGCCTGTGCCAATGGAACCTTTTGTGTTTTCCTCATATTTCCTTTGTGCTCTTCTCTTTACTTGGTTTATGCCTTCCCTCCTTGGCCTCAATCTTTTTGGTTTTTCTTTTCACAGTGTTGGGAGCGAGCACTGTCATAAACAGTAGGAACCAAGAGCAAGTTGCCCAGGTCCACACAAGCCACCCAGGGCCTTGCTCTGTTCTCTGCTGAAATTACTGCCACGAGAGTCTTTGGATTTAGTAACAAAGTCATCCTTAAAGCATAATTCATTCCACGCAAAACAAAAAGTCACCTTTTTGTTTGTTTGCTTGCTTGCTTGCTTTTTTCAAAACCGGATCTCACTTTATAGCTCTAACTGTCCTGGAACTCACTCTGTAGACCAAGCTGGCCTTGAACCAAGCAGAGATCTGCCTGCCTCTGCCTCCTGAGTGCTGGGACTGAAGGCATGTGTCACCACCCCCAGCAGGTTCCAAATCTATTTAGTAGAAAAGTTGCTCTGTTTAAAAAGTTTAGAGCTCTCTGTCCCTCTGTTTCATCCTGTGTCACTTTTCTGTGGCTGTGACAAGTTACCATGATAAAGGTAATTTATGAAAGAGCGTTTAGCTCAGTGGAATGAAGACATGGCAGCAGGAACAGCTGAGGATTGACATCTTGATCCCCAAGCAGGAGAAAGAAAGCACAGTGGGAATAGAACAAGTCTTTTAAAACCACAAAGCTTGCTCCTAGTGACACACCTTCTCCAGCTAGGCCACTCTTTCTCTTTTCCAAGCAGTCTCACCACCTAGGGACCAAGTATTCAAATATATGAGGCTGTCGGGGGACCGTTCTCATTCAAACCAGCACATTCCCTACTCATGTTATTTTAAAAACGTTCAGGGGCCGGCTTCAGCAGCACATATGCTAAAATTGGAACGATAGAAGATTAGCATGGTACCTGTGCAAGGATGACATGCAAATTTATGAAGCATTCCGTATTTTTGATATGGATTCTCTTGATGTCACAGACAAGCATCTGAGTAGCCAAAACTGATATTTCAGTGAAGCTGACAAAATCAAAGTCGCCCAAGGAGTTTCAGGGGCTGTATAGGACAATGGGTCTATCCACAAGTCCGTCCCTTACCTGATTGCTAGCATGCAGCATTTCTGTCGGGACATTCCTGTCAGTACTAAGGTTAGCCCAAGTCCAAGCCATGATGTACTCAGGGGAACTTAAATTTGAGAAGAGAAAATCCTCAGCTCAGATGGAGGTAGTGTCCACAGCCTCTATTCATATGAGAAGCAGCTTTTCTGAAAAGAGTTCCAGTATATACCTTGAATTTTTCAATAAAAGTTTGGTGGGGGAAACTGTTTCAGTCTCTCAACTCCTGGCCTAAAGGGACCCTTGTCTCTCAGTGCTTGAGCCACCACAGGAGACCGGACTTTTGGCGCATTCCTCTACAGCTAATTCTCATTTTTAAAAATGTTATATGTATGTATGTTTTGGCTGCATGTATACCCGTGTCCTGTGTGCATGCCTGCTGCATATGAAGTCCAGCAGAAGTTATCAGGTCCCACTGAACTGGAGTTCGGGTTATGAGCTGCCAGGTGGGTGATGGGACTTGAACTCTTGTCCTCTGGAAGAGCAGCCAGCACTCTTAACTGCTGAGACATCTCTCCAGCCCCTCATATTTTTTAAGGGCAGAGTTTTCCCATTAAAATTAATAACTACGCCAAGCATGATGACATGTGCCTGTAATCCCAGCACTCAAGAGAAGCAGGGAGAAAAGGAAGGAAGGAAAAAGGAATACTAAGAGGGAAAAAGAAAAGTTAGCCAGCCAGTTGGAATAGGCTTTTATGTTACAAGTTTTCATTTTATTTTGTTTTAAAAGAGCGCATATTTGCAGTAGCCTGTTTACCTGTGTGGAAGACTATGTTTTGTCATGTCCGTAGTAGATAGATGCTAAGATCACGTATGTATTTAACTCACTGATTTTGAAAGTCATATATAGCAGGTGACTGTGTTAATCCTACTGGAGCCTATGGTTCATGGAAGTGAAATCCACCCAACTACTTGCTAATAGATTTAATTCTTTAAAACTTTTTATTGATTCTTTCTGAATTTCACATCACATACCCCAAAACCATTCTTTTCCCTGCCTCTTTGTATCTGCCTTCCGCCCATGCAACCTCGCCCCACCCAAAAGAAAAGAAAATAACATAAACTTTTAAAAATCTCATTCTGGAAGCTGTAGAGTGCCCCGTTGTGGCTCACAGTACACCCTTTTGTCCACACATCTATACTTGCAAATGCCCGTTGCACTGAGTCATTGGTCTGTTTGAGGCCTCTGGCTTCTGCTACACTATTAATACTGGGTCCTCACAGGACTCCTCCCAGATATCCTGTTGTTATCCAGTGTCATGGAGACCCGGCAGCTTGGCATCTGCAGGACTGGCCCCTTCACGCACTCCAGCAGTTCATAGATGGGGTAGAGGTTGGGGTGGGCCAACTCAAAGCCCGGGATCTGGGCTGGTGGCCGCTGAGCTGGTCAGCCCGCCAGCGCTCCCGCACCCACACCACCAGAAGGCGCTCTCCAACACTGCCCCTGCTAGCTTACCCAATGCTGCAGGGCCAGCTCGTCTGAGCCCATGCCACAAGAGCCAGCTCTGCTGTGCTGACAGGTGACATGCAGAGCCCTCTTTTCCAAATGCAGTTTAATTTTTATTAAAAATATACATTCCTGGCTGGGTGTGATGACATACTTTTTTAATACTGGTACTTAGAAGATGGGGGTAGACAGATCTTTGTGAGTTCAAGGCTGATCTGGCCTACATAGTGAGTTCCAGACCAGTCAGAGCTACATAATAAAATTCTGTCTCAAAAAAAAAAAAAATATATATATATACACACACACACACACACACACACACACACACTCATTTCTTTCTGTACCTGTACTTCGGAAGGTCTGGAGGGCTTAGCATGGTGACACACATGTAAGACCCCAGCACTCAGGCTGGTCAGGAGTCAAGGGCAGCCTAGGCCACCTGAGCCCCTAACAAAAATCAACAAAACCTGGGAAGATGCATGTTACATCCAACGCACCAAACTGTAATTCTTTTCCATAATTTTCCTTCCAGGGTTTTATAAAGAATACATGGTTAAAAAAATAACTTCATTTGGTGGGTAGAGAGGAGAAAAGGCAAATTATTTTTAAGCAGTTTTCAGAGTGGGGACCTTGTATCGTTAGATGTATTTGAAAAAAAAGGCATGATGATGGAAGTTGGAACTCTTAAGTACAAATTTCAAACTACTGTAGGTGGATTAACTCACTTTTTGCTTCATCGCCCGTGTTAGGCCAGCCTTTATGGATGAGTACGAGAAGGTTGAGGAAGAGCTGCAGAAGCAGTATGACATTTATCTCCAGAAGTTTCGGAACCTGGCTTACCTGGAGCAGCAGCTTGAGGACCACCATCGGCTGGAGCAGGAGAGGTTTGAAGTAAGTCTGTGGCGTGTTACTCTATACTGAGACATACCAGCTTGTAAATATCAGTGTATGAAAAATACAGGTCTCCAGACTGCTCAATTCTTCTGCCTTGCTGACTGTATAGCCTGGATTCTTGATTGTCAAATAGTTGGCGTGTTATCGGGCTGTGGGCAGTGAGAAGTGGAAAGGGGTCAACTGTGACCTGTGCAGTGACCTAGAAGGCCCATGTGTGCTCTGCTCTTTTCCATGCCTAATACACAGGGCTTTTTTTAATGCTTAGTATAGCAAACAAAATTTAAAAGCCAGTTTTATTTCACTGGGTTTTTTCAGTCGTACATGTTCCTGTGTTATGTATCTGCATTTTCACATGTGTATGGGTGTGTGTGTGTGCATGTTCACAGCTGGCATCTTCCCCTCTCTGCCTTCTATATTGAAGCAGGGTCTATATTTGACTTTAAGGCTTGCCTATTTGACTTGAGCTGGACAACTTGCTCCACTGGTCCCCTTTCTGCCTCCCCAGCACTGACGTGACAGGCTGGCTGCCGTGTGTACTCAGTGTTTACCTGGTTTCTAGGCACCTGAACTGTGCTGCTCACATTATGCAGCAAGCACTTAGCCCTGAGCCCTCTCCCCAGATCCTCACTGTGCTTTTCTACAGTCATCAGGGCGGTTTCCTGTTTAAGGGGCGGGAGACCAGTGTCTCACTATGTTACCCAGAGCAGCCTCTTGCTTCAGCCTCCTACAGGCAGGAACTGTAAGAAAGATGCATGTCACCACTCCCAGTGTAATCAGTGCCCCACTTGACAACACACCTGACGTACTACTTCCTTCTGGCCCTACACCAGGAACTATAACCAGTTTTCCTTGTTTATCTTACCATCCTGACCTGACCGTAAGCATCTTTAGGATTGGAGTGGTGAAGCAGTACAGGCAGAAACAGGAAACTATTTTTGCTTTCTCTTGTTGTGAGCATGAAGGCTGTGCCTGTCAGCATTAGACACATTTCCTATGTCCTCCCTTGCAGGCACGTATGGCGGGCTTCTGTTGTGTCACTCACTTCTTTCAGAGCTGGAGTGGTAGTGGGGGGGGGGAGGGTGTAGGCTGCAGCATCAATCCCTGCACCATCTGCACAAGATGCTGGGTAGGTGACAGAGGAAGAGCACAGGTTTAGGGACCTCGTAGGCTGCTCAGGGAAACTTTAAAAAAATTTTTTAAAGACTTATGTATGTCTTTTTTGTATATTGGTATTTTGCCTGCATGTATGTCTGTGTACCATGTGCATGCAGTACTCTCAGAGGCCAAAAGAGGACATCCCCGGGATTGGTGTTACAGATGGTTGTAAGCCACCATGTGGTGCAAGGAATTGAACCCGGGTCCTCTGGAAGACCAGCAGGTATCCTAAGCCACTGAGCCATCTGTCCCCTTAAGCAACCTCCTAAGGTCTTGTTTGTTTTGTTTTGTTCTGTATGACAAACAGTGTGGTATTTACACAGTGGTGAAGAATCAGACCATCCACCAAAGTTTATCATTCTGAGTCTGGCTTTCCTCCTCCACAGGAAGCTGAAAATACTCTCCGTCTGATGCAGAATAAGCTAAAGGAAGAGGAAAAGCGACTGCTCAAGAGTGGAAGTAAGGCTGTTTGTTCTGACCGGTGTTCCAGCTTTGAGAAAGTTTACTTTTCTGTCTAAGATGTTTAGTGTGTGTGTGTGTGTGTGTGTGTGTGTGTGTGTGTGTGTTCATGCCAAGTCTGCAAGTGCAGGTGTGGTGTGCTGCGGTGCACATGTTGAGGCCAGAGGACAACTTTAGGGTTGGGTCTCTCTCCTTCTACCTTTACCTGAGTGCCTGAGGTCAAACTCAGGCCAGCAGGTTTGCACACACCGTTAAGTACACCATAAGTTACTTATGTTTCTCTAGCAAAGCTACTTACGTTTAAAAAGTATTTTTAAATTTTAATTAACTTCTTTTCTCTCATTTTTTAGTGTGGTAGAACAATGGATAATCTGTGCCCTCTTAAATACTAACAAATCTGCCATTGTTGCCTATGTGTTGGGACTGTTAGCCTGGTGCTTTGTGGGACTCAAACATTGCGAGTAGGTGTATCTCTGACTCTTTTTTTTTTTCCCCCTGCTCTTGAGATTCTTTTCCTCCTATTGGGTTGCCTTGTCTACCCTCAATATGAGGGTTTTTGCTTTGTCTTATTGTATTTCTCATCCTGTTTGGCTGTCGTCTCTTGGAGGCCTGCTCTTTTCTGAAGAGGAAACGAAGGGGCAGGGTAGATCTAGGGGAGAGGGGAGGTGGCAGAGAGCTAGGAGAAGTGGAGGGAGGAGAAACTGTTGTTGGGCTGTATTGTATAAGAGAAGAATCTATTTTCAATAATAATAGTGATGATAGTAAAAGCTTGCTTCCAGTTACATAGCCTCTAACTAACATCCATTGATTATGATACTTACAACATTTGTGTCTGTTTAAATGCTACAGTTAGCTTGAACTCTGTGTAATAGGTAATTATGAAAGAAAATTATCTCTAGTAATATGAATGGTCCCATATTGTAGGGCAGGCTAAAATGATAGTGTTGCTTGCAGTGTCCGTGAAGGGACCACTGGCTTATTGGCAAATCCTGTACACAGTCATCCAGGAATGTTCAACAAGGCTCTCACCTATAATGGGAAATTTGTTCTGGCTAGTGTTTTCAGCTGTGAGATGAAATGTACTAAATGTTCTAAACATGAGGCCCAGAGTTTGGGAGGGAGTCCTCTCCATGATGAGCTTGGTACGGCTCACTCGGCTGACACCAGGTGTCAGTTCAACACTGGGACTGTGGCAGTGTGATGTCCTGCTACACCACAGTTCTGTTGCACCGAGTTGCTTCTCTTGCTTATTTCTCTGCTCTCATGATGAAATGACTTTATTCTCTTGGTCTAAACAGTACACCTGGGCCTCCAGCATTTCCCCATCTGCGTGTCCCCTTTGTGTCTGTTTCCTTTTTGTACCGGTCCTCAGAGAGCCCTAGAAAAAGATCCGAGACTGCTGGAAATCCTCTAAGTGCAGGTGTAGAAAACCTGAGAGCTGTCTGACGCGCAGCAGGTTCCTGCTGCTTTAGTTCTGGGTCAGTCAAGACAGAGATTGAGAGGTATAGATAACTATGCTGCATGGAGTGAGCATTTAATGTTGTAATTTTTGTGGATGAAGTAAGAGGAAAACTAAACTGAGTGGTGATTTTGTGTTATAGTTGTTAAATTACATTAATATGGATTGATTTTCTATATACAGACTTTTAGAAGATGTAGTTTTCGAATTGTGTTGGTAGTCGTGAAGGGTGCTCTTGGTGACACTGCTGCCAGTGTTGAGGCTGTCCCTCCTGAGCTGGAGAACACAGCTCTTCTTCCTGGCTAAAGGAAGCCAGCTACCTTCCCCCAGCACTCAGGTGGATCTAGTTACCTTGCCATTACCTTCTCATGCAGGCACAAAGCAAAACCTTTTGGAAGACTAATAACTGCTGGGCTTCCAGGGTGACTTCTAAGTCAGTGTCAGACCAGCCCCTGTATACAAACCCCTCTAAAACCCTCCTTCCCAATTCCCTATCACTCCCTGGATAGAGTAAAGCACTAGCCAATAAGAGCATTTTCTTCCCATTATATTTCTTTGTTGGTTCTGTCTAGGAAATGTTCAACTTATAGGCACAAAGAATATGAACAAGTATTTAAGAAATGTATATAGAGTGATTTCAGGGCTGGAGAAGATGACTTGGTGATTAAGAACACTTGCCAGCACCAAGCATTGGGTAACCCATAACTGCCTTTAATTCTAACTCCAGGGGATACCAACATCCTCTCTGTTCTGTACAGGCCTCCCCATACATGTGGCATACACAAACACACACACATACACAGAGAGAGAAAAAAAGAGAAGAGTGAGAGAGAGAGATAAGGGAGAAATTTTTAATTAAAAACTAATTACACTGAAAATAGTCTCTTATAGAGTGTGTATATGAACAACCCCCACCCAATAAATAAATAAAAATATTTTAAAAACAGGGGATTGGACCTAGAGCATTGCAGAAGATAAGTACATGCTCGTCCGCTGAGCCACACCCCACCAATGTATGCCTTTATACAGAATTTCCTCAGGGAGGAGTGTCCCGGGTGCTAGTCAGCTCACTTTCTCTCTCAGGACAGCCTGCTGCAGTCCGTGCCTGAGTTCTTTCCATCAGCTACATTCAGTCTTCAGCTTTGTTAGGGCCAAGGCTCTTGAGTTTTAATACAGCCTGACATAGAACAAAGAGGACTTCCCCCAATTGACCAAGGACTTCAGATGCCTTGAAAGCCAGCGACTCAATTTTGGAAGAAAAAAAAAAATCAGCTGTCATAATGCTTTTAAGGCATCTGGTCCACATTCTTTTTGCTTTGAAAAATCGCTCTAAGCAAATACAGCGTATTATGGTCTGCATTAACACTCCACTAAGTACCTATCCAGGGAGTGTCATAAAATCTAATCGATGAAAAGAGGGCTAAGAAAGGCATATGCCCTGCATTAGAGGCTTAGTAGGCAGAAGATGTTTGACTGTAATGAAAGAACTGTAGCTTTATTCTGTCTTCTGGTTTTTCCTGCTAGGTAATGATGACTCAGACATAGACATCCAAGAGGACGATGAATCCGATAGTGAGCTGGAGGAGAGGCGGCTGTCCAAGCCCCGGACAGCTATGGAGGTGCTCATGCAAGGTATGTGGCTCCTGTGCCCGCCACCCTGTGCCCGCCTCTCAGACACAAGGGTAGAGTTGGGTGAGTGCTGCTTAATATTGAGGTACAGTGTGCTGTGAAGGGTCCCTGGAAGCAGTTCCTGTCTCAGCTTATCCTGTTCTTGAGGATCTGTCCCTCAGACTATTCATTGGTGACCATTACCTCTAACAGTCCTTTCTGCTTTCTTGTAGCTAAGCTGGTCTTGAGTTCACAGTGTACCTCAAGATGACCTTGAACATGATCCTCCTAGGTGTTAGGATTACAGGAGACACCACCATGCCCAGCACCTGTGATATTCTTACCTGTGGCCCCGGGATAGCTGGTTCATTTGTGTCTTCAGACTTCCTACAGAAGTCTGAAGTCTCAGAAATGGCCTCTGCAACTGAGCTCTGTGTTATGTTCATTTGAGTCAGTGCAGTCACATCCCTTGTGACCAAGAAAGTAACACAGAGAAAAGGGGATCACATAAGTGCCTCTCATAAAAACACTTTTTTTTAAAAGATTCATTTATTTTTTTTTATGTGCACTGATGTTTTGCCTTCATATATATCTGTGTGAGGGTTCCAAATCCTCTGGAACTGGAGTTACAGACAGTGGCGAGCTGCCATATGGATGCTGGGAATTGAACCTGGGTCCTTTGGAACACAGCTAGTGCTCTTAACCGCTGAACCATCTCTCCAGCTTCCCTCATAAAAACATTTTTAAAATGGGGTCTTTTCTCGTGTTCCACTTCAGCCTAGAGGGTCATAGCTAGCTGTCAGGGCTTTGTCCTTACAGATTGCCTCTCCACACACATGTGAGACACACTCCCATACATACATGCTGTCCAACATAGCTAAAAAGATCACCTGAAAATTCTTTAACTTAAGTGGGACTAGATTGCATCGTGACTCTATAACTTACTTTTATTCTGTAAATTAAATACTTTGGGGCTGGGGAGATGGCTCAGTCAGAGAATGCTTGCTCTGCCAGTCTGGAAACCTGGTTTCAGAGTCCCAGCACCCATGTCAAAGCCACATGCCTCAGTGCCTGTCTGAAATCCCAGTGCTGGGTAGGTGGGCAGAGGAGGCTCACTGAGGCTCGGTGGCCGCCATACTGAGTCAGTGAACCCCAGCCAGGTCTCAGAAATAACAAGAACAGTGACGTAGGCAGGCATTGCTGTCAACCTCTGGCCACCACATGCACACACACATACACATACATTTACACGTGTACAGACACATACACTACACTCATCCAAGTTAAATACATTATAACTGTTGTGGAGTATCTGTCAGAGAAGAGTGCTCCAACATAGGTTTAAACCCATAGAAGTCTTTATTAAGCCGGCTGTGGTGGTGCACACCTTTAATCCCAGCACTGAGGAGGCAGAGGCAAGTGGATCTGAGTTCGAGGCTAGCCTGGTCTACAAAGCGAGTTCCATAACAGTCACGGCTACACCTTTCTCAAACAAACAATAAAACAAGGAAAAGAAAGTCTTTATTAGCTGGCTGACAACTACACTAGGTGTTCAAGATCCCAGTGTAGCCCTGAACCTTTCCCAGCGTGAGCTTTTAAACTCAGCCATGTCCTGGTTTGACTTCAGTTAACAAGAACAGTTAGCTAGAAGCAGAACTACAAAGGACAAAAAGCAAGCTTAATACATTCAAAGACTCCCAGAACTGTGGGCTGTGATGGATTTCTTTGCCTTAGTTTTGGCAGGTGTTGCTCTCTACATGCTGAGTTTTACAGCCTGATTGGTACTTTTTAAAATTTAATTAATTCAGTTTACATCAGTCATAGGCCCTTCCCTCTTCTCTTCCCAGTCCTACCCTCTTTCCTGCATCACCTCCCCCCTATTCCTCAAATAAGGGAGCCCCCTACACAGACACTCCAGCTCGTCTATTCACAGGAGGACTGGGTTTGTCTCCTGATTGATACTTCTATCATAAAGTCAGTTGTACAAAGGTCTCAGAGCCTGTTACAGTAACTGTTCCCATATTAGCAAATATAGATGTGCTTTATTCTTTGTAATGGCTATATCATATTCCATTGCATAATTGTACCCTTGATTTACTTGGGCATATCCTAACATTCACTCATATATTTAATTTCACTATTTTTCTTGTACTTCTTTCTGAATGTATTAATGTATATCATTTCAAATGGAATTCTTTTGTGAAAAATTCTGTTAACTTTAGTTTTTTGTTATATTGTTTTTGGTACAGGGTCATGCTAGCACAGGATGGCCTTAAATTTAGAGTCCTTGCCCCAGAAGCCCCCTAAGTACGCAGATTGCAGGAGCCACTGTAATGCCCATCTGTAAACTCAGTTGCCCTAGATTTTGCCTTAAAAACATTTCTATATCCCCAGCCTTCCTGTAAAATGTTTTTTGCACATAAAATTTTATTATGTTCATTGATGTGTGTGCACCCACACATATGTGCACACTTGGGTACATAGCCAGTGATAACTTTTGGGACTCGGAGTTTTTTCTTCTGCCATGTAAATTCTGGAAATTGAATTCAGTCATTAGGCTTGGTGCCAAATGCCTTTACCTGCTGAACCATCTTGCCAGTCCATGTTAATTTTCTTGTTATTTTTTATTGTTGTTGTTGAGACATGGTCTCACCATGTAGCTCAAGCTAGCTTTGATCTCCCAATAATCCTCCTACTTCAGTCTCCTGCATGCTGAGATTAAAGATGTATGCCCTCACACCTGCTGTGATATTTTATTGCCCTTCAAAGTAGAAGTGCAGAGTTGGGACACGGTGACACAAACCTGTAATCCCATCACTCTAGAGGCTGAAGCAACATCAAGAGTTTAAGGCTAGCCTCTATTTTGAGAGAGGGGAAGGGGGATACAGGAAATTGACTACAATTTGTTGACAGTTCTCAGTAGTTGGAGCTCACTTAAGTCCTTTTTTGTATGTACGTTAGTATTTTCCCAGTTTTCCAAGGGAAAGAAAGTCTTAAATGCCATATCCTAATAAATTGTCCAAAGATCTCATCATGTCATGTTTTCATTGTTCTCAGGAAGGCCCAGCAAACGCATCGTGGGCACAATGCAAGGTGGAGACTCTGATGAAGATGTGAGTCCCAGAGCTTCTCCACACTCCTATACCTCCTGCTCTTTGGGCTGTCCTCATAGGTTAGCTCAGGTGCTGCCAGCAGTCAGGAAACTACCTGTTTCCAGCACATTGCTTGAATGCGACAGAGTCTGGCCTTTGAAGGGCTGGCTCTTTTCTTTGCTTGTCAATAGCTTGTTTCTCATTTCACACAAATATGCTTGCCCTTTTTTTTCGCCTTCTCACTGTTCTTTCCATTCTCGCTTTCCAAAGATGGAAGCAGCACCAGCCCTCTTAGGTAAATGCAAGACTCCCAGCTCCAGGAAGCAGGTTGGTTTTCTTTCTTTCTTTTTTTTTTTCTTTTGCCTCATCTGTTTGTTGGTGTGTGTTGGCCTGTCCAGGGCTAGCAGAGACTCTCTTCTCCAGGGGGATGCTTCCTCTCTTGGACAAGAAGCCCTCAGAATAGTTACCACGGTGAGAGAGGTAGCATGGTCTCTTGCATTTCCATACTCAGAAGGGACAAACACCAAGACCAAAGATGAGAAAGGTGTGGGCAGTCATCAGGCCCTAAATTATAACTAGAAATGAAGAGCCGATCCAGGGGCTGGCCCAACACCAGCCTTTCTTCAGCACCACTCTGCAACTCCTGAGGACCAACCAGAAAGCATGCTTTCCTGGACCAGGTCTCAGGGGTGCTGATAGAAAGCTGACCAGAGAACTTAACCAAAAGGGAAATCCGGTGCTCAAAATGGCAGGCTGGGTACACACTGCTGGACCCTCTGGCCCGGTCCTGCCGCAGTCCCTGGCGGTGCTACTTGGTCCATGTAGCCAGTTCCTGGAGACACCAATGCAGGGTCAGTTTGTGAGGTACAGGCCTCTGTCAGGTCTGGCACAGGCGGGACCCCGTGCTCTGTATGAAGCTTGGCATACTAAGTGCCACAGGTGCAGCACTGCCCAAATTCACAGCAGCAAGCTGGCACCTCATGTCGCTGGGCAGCTACAGAGATGCTTGTACCTCGAACCCCTAGGGGACAGTTGTTAGAGAGGAAGGGAGATCACTGAGCAACAGCCCATTAACAATGAGGATGCACCTGATGAGCTAGCTGTCATCCACTCCTGCCCACCTGAGTCTGAAGCAGGGAGGAGATGGCCTAAAGGAACCAGTGCTTCCTGGATAGTGGTGTCTGGCTTCTGTTTTATTTGCTTGTATGCTTTTCAGAATGAATGCATCTGCAGTGGCGTCAGTCTTCCTATTTATTTATTTCATGTTCACACAGCTCCTCTGTCACAGGGCTTGGTTTATATGTGTTTGTTCAGCAGGAATCTGTTGGGTCCTATCAGTGCCAGGTCCTAAATACAGCAGGGAACAAAAATAGACCTTGCCTCTGGGATACATACGTTTTAGGAACAATCTAGCAGACCACAGCCATAGGTGTTGACATACCACCGCCATAGTTATTAGGGAAGAAATAAAGTAGGTTCAGAAGGTGAGAAATGATGGAAACAAGGCATTTTTTCCCTCATGGTCAGGAAAGTCCTCTGTAATAAGAAATTAGAACGGAGGCCTGAAGGAAGGAAAGGGTGAGCCATGTTGGGGTGGGCAGAGTCGTTGGGCCTCGGGAGTGTGAGCACCTACTGTGAGGTAGTGGCAGGATAGAGGGAACTGGGGTGAGAGTGATAAGAGGTGGCAGAGGCAATGCAGAACTGTGCAGGACTGGACGAGCACCTGGTAAGACGGGAGATGGTGGAGAACCATCAGCCCAGGAGGAGGTATGGGTAGCAAGTGCAGCTGCGTAGGTTGGAGGTGAGTGTGTCTTACCTGAGGCAGTGGTGATGTTGGTGTTGAGAGGGCTCAGATTCTGGGTGTTTTTGAAGTCGGACCCATTGTGTTCTGTTAGTAGATTGTACCAGGGTGGTGGAGAGGAGAAATGCAGAATGCTTCGGTAGTGGCATGACTGAGAGCATGGGGTTCTAACTTCCTGAGACAGATGACGTGGGGAGGGGCTGAGAAGGCAGATCAGGAGTTTGATTTTAGCCATTGTCAGGTGTGTGGCCTGTTAGACACCCACATTGCTGGTGTGGAGTGGCCAGTTGAAACTAAAGTTTGGAATTTAAGAAACAGGGCTGGGTCAGAAGCGTATCTTGGGAGCCATCCACGTTTAAATATGGAAGTGCGATAAAGATGTGACCACACTGCTTTGAGAGCAGGAAGAGAAGGGAGGAGGCCTGCAGCCCTGAGCTGCCTCTGTATCACAGGGGCTAGGGGATTAAAGATGACCAGGCAAGAGAATGGCAGACCGTGCAGAGAGCTAAGGACAGAGGGTAGGAAGCGGACTTCAGAGGGAGGGGTGGGGCATTGACAGATGTGGGGAGGATGGTGGCCAGGACTGTGGAGCCCCACTGGACTGGAATCCCTTTAGTCTTCATAAGAGTGGTTTGGGTTTTGGGGTACGTTGTTGTGCATAGGCAAATGGGAGGGGCACACGTGGAGACACCTGAGCATTTCTTTCATTGTGAGACAAGGTCTTTCTAGGGAGCTCAGGCTGGCCTCATTCATAGCCATCCTGGGTTTTGGGATGCTGGCACTGTAGACTTGTACCACACTAGGCCTGAATTTCCCAAGGAGGGAGGAAAGCAAACAGCAGGGTTGCTGGAGAAGGTGGCAGTTCTTTAAAGAAGAGAGTTCTAACATGTATGTACTACTGGGGAATACTCTAGATTGGGTAACCAGCCATCTTGCTATACGTGGAGCACAGGACATGCTGTAAAAAAGACAGCCCGAGTTTTTGCTCCCTGGATGCAGACCGTGAATGAGCTGAGGCACCTCCACTTCCACCTGGAATAGGCCTCCCTTTCTCCTGCCCTTCTGACTGTCTACCTGTCTGCTTGGTCTCTAGACTGCAGAAACCGTGCAGCACCTGGCTTCAGCATGTGTTAAGGGTTTTCCCAAGACACCCATGGAAAGCCAACCCCTGCTTGCTAACCCTGGTAAAGGCCACACAGTCCAGTGGAGCTGTTCAGCTGGCAGTGTCTGTTCCCCCAACCTTCCACTCTAGGGTATTGCTGGCGTGGCTGTCTCCTTGCGGGAGTGAGGTGGAGTCTCTAGTAAGAGATCATAGTGAGCTAGCACCTCAGTTGCATTTGCCATCTTTTCGCTTCAGGAAGACTCAGAGGACAGTGAAATTGACATGGAAGATGATGAAGAAGATGATGACGATTTGGAAGATGAAAGCATTGCTCTCTCACCAGCTAAGCCCAGTCGAAGGGTCCGGAAACCTGAGCCCCTGGATGAGAGTGACAATGACTTCTGACCCTCTTGCCAAGGGACCCAGGCAGATTAAAAGCCTCAGCTTTATAGGTGAACAGGGAATCAGCAGACTAGAAAGGTAACCTGTATTTTCTTCACTACACTATCTGGGCGTAACTGTCACTGAAACGAACCCCAACAAAGATGTTCTTTTGTCTTACTTCTTAACACTTGTGAAACACACGTGCTCTAGGTAATTCAACTCTAAAGAAAAACCCATGAGGAGAAATACAGACTGACAACCATGTAACTCTTGGCTGCTGTTATTATTAAACTAATTTTCCTTGATGTTCTGGCCATGGAGAGGCTCCAGGTTATGAATGTTTTGTTTTCTCTCAGAAGACTATTGTTCTCTGGGAGGCAGATACACTGCAATTACATGTCATTTTCACATCTTCACACTGCCTCAGCGAGTGCAGCTCCAACTCCTACGCTGGCTACACCTGATAGCAGGCACCCATGTGAGTGTGTGTGTGGGTACGTATGAGGGTTATGTGTGCACATGTCCATGTGTGAGCAGGGACTGTTTGTGCTGGTGTGTATGCATGTTGTGTGCATGTATGTGTGAAAACCAGAGGACAACCTCTGTGGTTGTTCCTCAGGCACTGTCCACCTTTTTGGGGGAAGGGATGGGTTTTTACTGGGACCTGGAAGTGCACCAGTTTCCCTGGACTGGGGAGACACTCGGCTCCAGGCTTGTCTCCTCCTCCCCAGGGGGGAGCACACACCACAGCTCCTGGATTTGTGCGGATTTTGGAGCTTGCACTCGTGTGTGCATAGGAGCTTTCTACCAGCTGAGCACTATCCTCAACCCACCTGACATGTCTTACTTTGTTTCATTTTGAGACAGGCTTTCTCTGTGTCATCCTGGCTGGCCTAGAGCTCACAGAGCTCTGCCTGCTTCTGCCTTGGAGTGCTGGGGCTAAAGGCGTCTGCCACCACTCCCGGCGCTCTCTTTTTCACATCTTTGTGTATGTATACCATGCATAAGTGTATTGGCATGCATGGAACAACATACATGTGTTGAACTCAGAGGACAACCTTGAGTCAGTATTCATTTCTCACCTTATTTGAGGCAGAATCACTTGCTCACTATTGCATAGCGCAGGCCAGCTGGTCTGAAAGCTCTCAAAGGTTCCCCTGTTACCACCTCTGTCACCAACCATTTCACCACAGGAGCACTGAGACCACAGGCATGTCACCATAGCCAGTTTTATGTGTATTCGGAGGCTCCAGACTCGGGTCCTTCTGCTTGCTCAGCAAATGCTTTACCCATTAAGCCAGTTCCTCATCCACTAACTGGCGGCTGTTAAAGGAGCTTTGTCTGCAGTCTATGGCACAAGGATGCAAGTATGTGTCCTGCACCTGGTGTCTTTCTGAAGGAGCCATCAGAAAAGAGAAAACAAAACACTGGTACCGAGTCGTGTTTCTGATTCGAAAAATAAACTAGAACCAACTTTGGTAAAGTGGTACTCAAAAGAATTTCCATGTGAAATGAAAGCAAGGGACAAGTGAAATTGTACTATGCAAAGCATGGGACTGCAGAGATTGCTCACTTTCTCTACAAGCACGTCTCCAGGAGTTCGAGGCCAGCCTGGGCTGCATAGCAAGTTCCAAACCAGCCAGGGCTACCCAGTGAGACCCTGACTCAAGAACAAAACAATAACAACAAAAGTGTGAGTGTGGCCACACACACCTGTTAGCCTAGCACAGTATAACTAGAGCTTGTTGGCTGCACAGCCCAGCTGAGAAATAGCGAGCTCCAGGGAGGGAGTGTCTCGAGGACGTCCTCCTTGGCTTCTGCATGCTTGTGCACGAGCATACACAAACACTTACACACTTGCATACACCACACATAGACAGAAGTGTGGGGTTGCTTTTATAGTTTATGATGATGAAGTCAAAAGATTGCAGAAAATGTCTAAAGTGTAAAATGTGAGATGATGTAATGGGGGAAGGCACTTAGCAGTAGCCTGAGTTCAATGCACAGAACTCACATGGTGGAAAGAGCTGACTCCCACAAGCTGTCCCCTGACCTCAACACAGGCACGACAGTACTCCACATGTAACTCCACACAAAACAAATGCAAATTTAAAATGTATTTGACACTGTATTTTATATAATTAAGCTTTACTTGGCAGCATTATTTTTAACTTATACATATTACATATAAAAATAAAGTAGCATTTGTCACTGTTGAACATTTTGTTTTTTGAGGAAGGGTTCATTATGTAAACCTGACTGGCCTGGAGCTCACTATATTGACCAAGTTGGCTTTGAACGCAAAGAGATCTACCTACCTCTGCCATGAACTTGCTTTGCAGATCAGGTTGACTTGACTTCCTGTCTGTCCCCTTCTGCATACTGGGCACACTGCCAGCCCTGGCTAGATACTCTTGTTTGTTTGTTTGTTTCATTGTTGTTGTTATAGCTATCATAAAGTGAAAGGGCCTGGAGAGAAGTTAAACTGCCTGTGCTTATGTAGAAGACCAGGGTTCAGTCCCAGCACCCACATCAGGTGGCTTCCAACCACCCGTAACTGCAGTTCCAGGCATCTGAGGCCCTTTTCTGGCTTCTGCACATACATGTGATACATCTGTACGTGCAGACACATAAATTTAAAACTCCTAAAAAGTTAAGAATAAAAGGACTAACAATGGAAAACATGAAAATTGTTCCCTGTAAGACAAAAAGAAAACAAAATCATTTTTTCTAGTTGGTTTTCAGGGAGGGGTCAAGCCACCACATTAGAGGCTTAAGGGTTGGGAAAGGCATCAGAGGTCCATGCTTTGGTTTAGTCAACAGGGCAGATCTTCCTGGCTTCCTTCTTAAATTTCCTGCTTTCTGAGACAGAACCTCTGGCTGGTTTGGAGTTCACCGTGCAGCCCAGGGACCCTGATCGTGTGTCAGCAGTCACTTTAAGTAACTTGGAGGTATTGTTTTCAAAGAGCAAGAAGGCGTGCTAGTGACAGGGCAGTGGAAGGTCCACGTGTTGTGTTGTTGTAGTGACACAGGATGATAATCCCAGCACTCTGGAGGCCAGGGCACAGTGGTTGGTGCAGGAGGCTAAAGACCAACTCAGTAAATAATGAAAAGCAATTTCAGGAACCCAGTTGGTTCACAGTGCAGGGAGTCTCCTTGGCCATGGAATCATTTTGCTGTAGGTACACTTGCTGTGCGGATTTTTTTTTTCCCACGAAATATTTGAGCAGCTGCAGCTGTCAGGTGTCATGCTAACAATAGTACTGAGATGAATGACTCTTAGTATCTGCATGCAAGGTGCATACAGTGCCAGGAGTACTGTAGGGAACCCAGAGTAAGGAGCAGCAAGCCTCCTCTGGAGGAGTAGGTAAAGATGTCTCTGACAGTCAGATTAGACTTGGTCTTCTGGGCTTTTGTTGTCGGTTTTGTAGTACTGGGGATGGAACTCAAGAGTTTTGCTGTTCTAGCTAAGTGCTCTGCCATGATGTGCACCCCAACCCTGGACTGACCAATAAGACTCCATCATACAAGATCTGTGTAAGATCAAGCAGCCAGAATCCCCACATAGAGGAGATGATCTGTAGGCTCAGCCTGTACTGAGGAGCTTTTGACAGTTAATAGCTGCTTCAAGAAGAAGCTTCTTCTTCCTCCTCCTCCTCTTCCTTCTTTTTTCCTCTTCCTCCTTCTACAGTATTCCCACTGGTATGTTTCATGTGCTCCAGTGGATGACCCCACCTGCATGCAGATATGGACTACACTAATTGGACTTAGTGGCATATCAAAGAAGACATGAAATGAGGATGAGAAATTAGGAGAGCAGAAATGGGGGCAGTATATGTGATCATATTTCATTGAATACATGTATGAAAACAGAAGTTTTTAAGCCTGAAAAAAACCAAAACGATGGGGCTGGAGAGATGGCTCAGAGGTTGAGAGTGCTTGCTGCTCTTCCAGAAAACAAGTTCAGGTCCCACCACCATATTAAAGTGGTCTACAGCCATCTATTAACCCCAGTTCCAGGGCATCTGGTACATTCTTGTAGCCTCCTGGGGCAATTGTACTCATGTGCACAGACCCTTACACAGATACAAACATACACACATGTTAAAACGATTTCTTTACAAGACGAGGAAGGACAGAAGCACAGAGGTGTCAGAAGTCCGTGAAATGGCAGGCATATAAGGCTGTCATGCTTGTTATGAAATAAGGGAGCACAGTGAACTTGTGTTCCGCTCTGTGAGTAAATAGCAACCTCCAAAGATAAGGCGTTAAAAAAAAATCACTCAGCTGAGTAGTAGTATTGCACATCTTTAATCCCGGTACTAGGGAGGCAGAGGCAGGTAGATCTCTGAGTTCAAGGCCAGCCTGGTCTACAAAGTGAGTTCCAGGATGGCCTGGCCACACAGAGAAATCCTGTCTTGAGAAACAAAAGGAAGGAAGGAAGGAAGGAAGGAAGGAAGGAAGGAAGGAAGGAAGGAAGGAAGGAAGGAAGGAAGGAAGGAAAGAACAAAGAAAGAAAGAAAAGAGGAAGGAAGGAAAGAAAGAAATCACTGTGGACTGAGTCTGATACTGCAGCCTTTAATCCCAGCACTCTGAAGGCAGGAGCAGGTGGATTTCTGAGCTCAAGGCCAGTCTTGTCTGCATAGAAAGCTCTGGGACATCCAAGGCTTAGGAAGAGCTTGGACCACATTCAAGTGTCGGAAGAGATGTTGGGGAGGACAAAAAGGCTTTGGGGAATACTCATTGTGGAAAACTTGTATTGGAAGGTTCCTAGAGGTGAGGCACCCTAGTTGCACATTTGCTAACTGATACAGCTAATCGGGAGGTATGAGTAGAACACGGTGGAGACACTTTGGAATATACATCTGCAGAATGATGCCTAGTAATGACTTACAACTACACAAACAAGGGAGGCCTCCAGGGAACCTGTGGACAGAGTACATTCATTTATTCCTGTGCTCTCCTGAAATGCTAGTAAAGCCAGAGGGAGAAAGGAAAGAATAAAAAGGAAAGAGAAGTGGGGGGAGGAGGAGAAATTTTCACAGTGGGTGTCTTAGGATTTCATTGCTGTGAAGAGAGAACATGACCACAGCAGCTCCTATAAAGGAGAACATTTAACGGGCTGGCTTACAGTTTCAGAGGTTAGTCTGTTATCATATTGGGGAATAGGGCAGCGTGCAGGCAGACATGGTGCTGGAGAAGGACCTGAGAGTTCTACATCTTGATCCACAGGCAGCCACAGGAGGAGAAATGTATGACTGGGTATGGCTTGAGCATCTATATAACCTCAAAGCCTGCCTTCACAGTGGCCTTCCCCCAACAAGGCCACACTTCTTAATGGTGCCACTCTCCATGGGCCAAGCATTTAAACAAGAGATTCTGTGAGGGACAAACCTATTCAAACCACCACACAGGGTAAATAAATCCACAGGGCACCAAGAGCCAAAGCAGAGACCAGAGTGAATGAACGATTGTTCAGTGATGTGGAAAGAAGATAGGAGCATTAAAGCTGGAGGAGCCGAGAACAAAGCATCCTTAACAGATTAAAAAAAAAAAAAAGTCTGAGATGAAAAGTAGCAAGATGCACTTAACAGCAGAGGACGTGCTACAGGAGAAAAATGCAGAAGACAGCAACAGAAACTGTCCAAAATTAAACAAAAAACAAATAGGAAGAAAATCAAACCCTCTTCTAGCTAGTGGTTTGTCTCAGTTCCAAGTTCACAAGCTTGCTTTGTGGTGATGCAGCTAGCCCTTGCTAGCCTGAGAGCTATGAAACAATGGAGTCTGGATGGAGTTTCTGGAAGGGGACCTTCTAGGTCTAGTAGGGCTTGCTCACCGTATCTTTGGAGAGCACCCTTTTTCCTCACAGTGTTTGGCCCTCAGACCTCCGTACTCGGCTCCTATAGGGTACCAGGCTCCCAGCAGTTGTCTACTGGCTGGCTGGTGTCGTCCTGGCTGCTGACCTTCAGCCAGAAACATGTTGAGTTTTCCTGCATACATACATACATAACAGCATGCTGTTACCAGTGCCGGGGGTGGAGCCCGGACCTACTCCACTAGCTGGATGTATCCCCAGTCTGAGAACAACATCGTAAAAGTACCAAAGAGAGAAAACAGCATTCTCTACCCAGACACAATAACCTTCAAAGCCAAAATGAATACACCTTCAATTTCCAAGTAAAATTCCTTGAAGATTGTATTTTCCCTCCAGCCTGGGAGCCAGTCAAGGATCTTGCTTTTCATTGTTAGGTCTTTTTCACGTTTAATTTAGAACAATCTCCAGACTGTTGCCACATTTCTGCAGGCAGGCCAGCTGTGTGGAAAGTGCTTCCATTTGGAGCCAGGTAGTCACACCTCTACAGGCAGGCTCAGGTAAACACTGTCGGCAGACAAGCTCCGTCAGTGCGCTGTCTGCAGTCAGGCATGATGTCCGTGTGTCCCATGGCTGTGAGGCTAAATGTAATCATTTCTTTTTCCTTTTGTCTTCTTGAGACAGGATTTCATGTAGCACAAACTGGTCTTGAATTCACTACGTATCTAAAGACAGCCTCGACGTCCTGATACTCCTGCCTCCACCAAGTGCTGGGATTACAGGTTCTTCCTGGCTCAGGCTGAATCACTGTTGTTAAGGCTGCATTGGCATGCTACTTGCTAAGGTGCCCCTTTTCCTGCATTCATAGAGCAGCGCCTCTATCAGCTGCCATGAGCACTCATCTGACTATTGATTTTTTACGTTTTTGTTTTGAGAACCTCACTGTGTAGTTTAAGCTGGCCTCAAACTCCTGATCCTCCTTTCTCAGCCTCACAAGTACCAGAATTACAAGTGTGTGCCACCATGCCTAGCTTCTGGATAGTCCATTTTTTTTAGTTTAAGACAGGATGTAACGATGTGGTTCTGGCTGGCCTGGAATTCACTCCTGATCCAGACTTGCTGGCCTCAAACTCAGAGATCCCTCTGCCTCTGCCTCCCAATTGCTGAGATTAAACGTGTGCAGCACCACACCTGGACTCTCTCTGGTCTTTATAAGCGTTTATCTTACTAGCTAAGTTGAGGTGAGGTTCACTTAGGTTTTCCGGTTTCAGTCCGACAATGGAGGGACTTTGCCACCTGGAAGCACACTTGTTATCCCACGGGGAGGCTACGTACACTCTGAGCTTTGAAAGCTTAAGTACAGAATAATGGCATTGAGGTTATTGACGCTTAATTCAGAATGGATAACAGTGTGCTGGACTCCAAATATGGCAGGCCTTGATGTCTGAGAGATCTTACAGGAGAGGGCAGAGCCCTTGCAGAGTCATCCCTGACTCAGAATCCTAGAATTAACCTTTCACTTATCTTTACAGGGTTCTCGTTTTTCCATCTGTATCTAAGGGTCACACCCCAAAACCATCACCTTTGCCAAGCTACCATGCTTAGTGGGCTTGGAGACTGCAGAAGACTGACCTAACCATGTGTGTGCACAGGGCAGAAACACAGTTTTTGTTGGTTCGGTGTTGTTTTTTATGTTGGGGCATATGAAGACCCTAGGGTGTGAATAAGCCACTTCCTACTTTGTGACGCTCAGGTGTTTCCCCTGAGTGCCCATTGGCGGCAGCCCCTTCCCCTCTATTCTGTAACAGAGCTTCCATCTTCCCTCCGACTGACCCTGGGCAGGAAAAGAGCCTGTGACCCCTGTTGGAAGTAGCCTTACTTCCTCTACTCAGGAGACAGCTTGAGAGATGACTCAGCAGCATTTCAGATTCCAGGAAGATGTGCAGAGATCAGAGGATTCTCTGACCAAAAGCTTCTGCTTGAGTCGCTGCATGGCCCACCAGGAACTTGCTCTGCTTACATTTCCACAATGCGTGTTGGAGCATTTGTCTTGATAGCCTCTGAGATCATCCGGGCACCAGATTCCCCAATGGGATTTCCCTGGAGACTAGAATACAAGAGTTAGGGCTGAACTCAGCATCCAAAGGTTTCCATAGTAGGGTGATTGTTGCTATAATGAATTCAGGACCCTACTGAGCCTTTGCCCTTCTGGGGTCCCTCCTACACACACCACTCTGCCATCTTCCTTCTCAGACCTGGTTTCCCCATGGAGTTGCTACAGTATCTTTATATCAACCTGGCTCCCCAGAATTGGACTAAAGGCAGAACCTGATCTGGGAGTTCTGGGGCTCAGCAGAAGTATCTGGAAAAGGCGGATGCCGCTGTGTGTACTCACTTAATATGATGCAGAGCCTGGTTCTCAGACAGTGCAGTGGCAATGTATATGGCCCCATCCATCCCCAGGGAGTTCTCTTGCAGACTAGAGAGAGAAGAGATGGAGTCACCGTGGTGAGCCACCAGGACAGAAAAGACATAAGGAGGCAGCACTGCCTTGTTGAGATGTGCCTGGGATGAACAGTTCGGAGGTGATTGTCCACAGGTACATAGCCACTGATATTTGACCCCTAAACTACAGCTAGGTGCTCTACCCAAAACCATTAATGTGGATGTTAAGTAAATGGCTTCAGGAGAATGAACAAAACTAACTTCAGTGGGTGTGGACAGTAATAGAACTGCCATTTAACACCCAGAAGAAAGCAGCTAAAGTGTTTCATCCCAAAAGCACCAGCAGAAGTTGGCTGCTTTGGCTTACATGTGGGTCACATTATCACTTACTTGAGTCTTCGGAGACTGGAATTTAACTTCAGAGCATTTGCCAAGGCCTTGGCTCCAGCTACCCCAATGTCATTTCCTCGTAAGCTGTCAGGGCAAGCAAGAAGCCTAAGTGCAGGTTTACACTGAGGTGATCCTGATGCTCCTGCACATGGGTGTGGCTTGTCTGGACATTACCAATCCCAGGGGTTTGGGGTGGTTCCTTCCTAAGCTCTTAGGAAAGCCTGTTCTTTCCTTCTACCCCAGAGAAGGAAAACCTATGCAGAGATGAGAGAACTCCATCCAGGGGTATGCAGCACACTGTGATTACGGGGTCCTGGAGAGCATGGACATGAGGGGCATGGGCATGCTGACAGCCTCATAGAGTTGAGCCCACCCCACCCCGCCCCAGGAGTTGGCTACTGGTTGCTTAAGGGGGTGGGGGAGATACACTACTCACTAGAGTCTTTGTACCTGTTTGTGCAGGCCCAAACCCGGAGCATAGTGCCATAGTGACTTCAGGGAAAGACATAAAGTGGGAACAGGGAAGATGGGCATACAACCAGAAATGATCATGAAAATTATGTGTCTGTGTAGATATTTATCTTCATGTTTATTACTTTTGAATGTGTAGCTTGTTTGTTTGTTTGTTTGTTTGTTTGTTTTTCAGCAAAAGTGTGTTAACAGAGACTGCAATACTCACTCAAGAATCTCCAAGGTTCTGTTCACAGCCAGGGCCTCCCCAAGTGCCTGGGCCCCTTGGGTGCTTATGGCGGCCACCTGTAGGCTATAAGAGGGAGTGCAATCAGTGTGGGTAAGTGGGCTTCCTGTGCTCCTAGCCCCTCCCTGCCCTGGGCCAGGCTTCCCTCCATAATCAGTACCACGGGGTTAAAAGCTGAGAAATACTAAGAATTGTTTTCCCGTGATTCTTCCAAGAACACCACATCTTCCATCTAACTGACACCTAAGAACATGATCTAGACACTGGACAGGAAGTAGGGTAGTCTTCCGGAAGGGCTTGGGGTGAATTCTGTTTGTACCTTTAGGCCTTCCTTGATGCTGACTACCCAGTCACTAATAACAGAAAAGCCAAGCAGCTCTCCTAGACTATAAACAAAGATGCTTGTGACATGAGATGATGGTGAAGGGGGTACTCTACTTGGCTCCCACACCCAGGGGACTTACTAGAGAGCAATGAGGGTTGTGTTCACCTTCAGGGCACCGGCCATTGCAGAAGCTCCCTCATCCCCAATGGCATTCTCCTGTAAGCTGAACACAGTATGACCCATTGGTACAAAAGGAGCACAAGCCAACACTCTGGCCAAGGCTATGAAGTTTGGGTCCTTTACACAGTCAGACCTAACCCAAGTCACTTTAGATGATTGTCCCTGATGGGCAGCCATTGTGCCCTTGGCCTCATAATTAATATACAGAGGAATCTAGGATATTTGTGAATCTGAATAAACTGTCAAAGACAGGTAAGAAAGGGAACATAGAAATTACTGTCAACAAGGCTTAAGACCAAAGGCTATGCTTTTTAAAACCAATGGGGAGATTAACCTGACATCCTCATCTCTGTACAATTCTTTTAGTGTTTTTATTGTGGTGGTGGAGACAGGTTTCTCTGTGTAGCCCTGGCTGTCCTGTGTAGACCAGGCTGGCCTCGAACTGCCTCCTGGGTGCTGGGATTAAAGGTGTGTGCCACCACCGCCCTGCTCTGCATCATTCTTTTTTTTTTTTTTTTTTTTTTTTGAGACAGGATTTATCTGTTATACAGAGCCCTGGCTGTCCTGGCCTCACTTTGTAGACCAGGCTGGCCTCAACCTCACAGAGACTGCCTGCCTCTGCCTCCCTGAGTTTCTTTTTACTTTTTTTGAGATAGATTTTTTTCTGTGTAGCCCTGGCTGTCCTGGACTCCTAGGCTCTTTTTGTAGACCAGGCTGGCCTTAAACTCACAGCTATCCTCTTGCCTCTGCCTCCCCAAGTGCTGGGGTCTGCACCATTCTTGCAGCCTAGGATTTCTGAATCTTCTCCTACTTCCAATTGGAGGAAAAGGGTAAGCCTGGGACAGTAAGTGAACTTAGGACAAGAGGACATTGCCATTGTAAGGAAGCAGCTTGCTTTCTTTCCTCTAGCGGACATCTGTGTCCCAGGGGTGAGGGGGGGCAGAGCAGCATGCACAGTTCTGCCCTGTGCTGGCTAGATTTTTGTCAAGTTAACACATGCTAGAGGCCTCTGAGATAGGTGAACACCAATTGAGAAAATGCCTCCATAAGAATGCCCTGTAGGCAGGCCTGTGGGCCATGTTATGTATTAATTATTAGTGTGGGAGGGGCCGTCACATTGGGGGTGGTGCTAACCGCGGGTAGGTAGTCCTGGGGAATATTAGAAAATAAGCTGAGCAAGCCAGGAAGAATCAGCCAGTAACCAGCACTCCTCAGTGGTCTCTGCTCCACTTCCTATCTCTTCAGTCCTGGCTTCCCTCAGTGGTGGACTTACGAGCTGAAAGGTGAAACAAACCATTCCCTTCTCAAGTTGTTTTTGGTCACAATGTTTTAGTAATAGACAAGTAACTTGTTAAAGCCTTTGCAGAGCCCAGCTAGGACGGCACTATTAAATGAGCAAATTGCTAGGCTAGGTCCAAGCTTCAGGAGAAACTGGCGGTCTCTACCCCAGTGTGGTACCCAGAAGAAATAAACCACGCCAAAATTGGGGGATGAGAGACAAACAAGGCTGGGACATCTGAAGACTCTTGGGAGACTGCTGAGTCCATGGAATGGCGAGGGCTAAGGCTTGGTAGTGTGAGGGAGGCAGGCCTTTGGGGACCGTGGAGTCCAGGCTTGGGGTTACATTTCACTCTGCAGGCACAGCCACTCAAAGACCTCACCCATCTCGAAGACAGTTGGATGCTTTGGCCAGCAGTTTGAGGGAGTGGCCTAGATGGGGCTGGAGGCCACCCAGCGTGGCAGGTGAGTGGCAATATGACCTAGATGGTGGCAGTTGACAACACTGTGGGAGGGACAGTGGAAGAGAGGGTCAGCGGGACTGGAGGGAGGGGCACAGGTGGCGCCTCTAGTGTGCACAGTTGGTTGGTTCCAAGGGTCAGATGGAGAACTAAGAAGCAGGCTTATGTGCAAGAGAATGCAGCAACTTGCAATACGTGTAAGACAATAAGGGCACAAGGCAACATGGGCGTGGATTCATGCGCTGGAGTTGAAGAGACACGTCTGGGTTCGTGTCTTAGTCACTCCTATTGCTGTGATAAGACACCATGACCAAGGCATCTTATAGAAGAAAGAGTTTATTTGGGGCTTACAGTTTCAGAAGATTGGAGTCCAGGAGCGTCATGGTAGGGAGCATGGCAGCAAGCAGCAGGCAGATATGGTGCTGGAGCAGTAGCTGAGAGCTTACATCTAGATCCACAGGCAGAAGGCAGGGAGAACTAACTGGGAATAACTTGGGCTTTTGAAACCTCAAAGCCCACCCCAGTGACACACCTCCTCCAGCATGGTCACACCTCCTGATCCTTCCCAGACAATCCCATCAGCTGGCCACCAACTATTCAAATATAAGAGCTCATGGGTGCTATTCTCATTCACACAAGCCTAGGAAGTGAGCAGGAGTTATCGGGAGTGGGGTACTTGGAATCCTAGGAGAGGAAGAGAGCTCCCAGAAAAGCTCATTAAGGGATGAGGCAGAACCCTGAGGAGCACCAGTGTCTAGAAGTAAAACAGCAGGAAGGGATAAGAAGTGCCAACTAGAGAAGAGATGTATGGAAGAGAGAAGAAACTGTACTGTGACGCAAGCTTTAGGCTGGGGAGGTGGCTCAGTGGGTACAGTGCCCTGTAAGCAGAAGGCCCTGTATTGAGATGCCCAGAGCCCACATAAAGCTGGAGGCAGCAGCACTTGTCTGTAACCCCAGCTCTCCTTCAGGGCGAGTGGAAGCAATGAGAAACCTCGGGAGCTTACGGCCAGATTGCTTGGCATAGATAGCAAGGGGAAGAAGACTGACTCAAGGTGGTAGGCAAGGCCCAACACCTAGGGTTGACCGCTCAACTCCACATGCACATCCTGGTATGTGTATGCCCACACTCACACGTACTAACATACATTCACATACGAAGATTGGAAAAGAAAACGGTGGGGCTGGTAAGATGGCTCAGCAGGCACAGGTGCTTGCTGTCATTCCCAGTGACCTGAGTTTGAGGCTTGGAACCCAGAGTGGAAGGAGAGAAGTGGCTCCTGAAAGTTGTCCTTTGACCTCCACACATATGTCATGACAAGGGCACACACACACACACACACACACACACACATACATGCACTTGTTTTGTTTTGAAGCAGGGTTTCTCCATGAAGCCTTGGCTGCTGTCCTGGAACTCATTCTGTAGACCAGGCTGGCCTCTAACTCAGATCCACCTCTGCCTCCTAAGTGATAGGATTAAAGGTGAACTGTCACCTCCCAGGTCACTCTGTATCTATCTATCAGTTTCTCTCTCTCTCTCTCTCTCTCTCTCTCTCTCTCTCTCTCACACACACACACACACACACACACTTAAAAAGAACAAAGTACTGACAAGCAACAGAAAAGCTCAGCCTGGAAAAAAAATGTTTTGCTGCTGGGGTCATAGCACCGCCGTAGAGCATGTACTTAAGATTCTCAAAGCCTTAGTTTTAACCCCTGTGTATAAAAGATATCAGTCATAGAAGTCCACATGTGAAATGTCCAGAATGGAGAGGTTGCTGTTTCTGAGGGTGGGAATCAGCTGCAACACACACAGGATCTCTGGGGACTAGGGAAATGTTCCCAAATTGATTGTTGTGATGGCTGTACAACTGGTTTTTATGGTGTGTGGATTATATTAGTAAAACTATCACACACACCCCATAATAGATAAGGATTGAAACAAGTCTGTGGTCTTATGGTAGAGGAAGCTATTTGCTGTCAGACAGCGCTGTGTCTGGAAACCCCTCCTCCTCCCATAGGCTACACTTACTCTAAGGTTGTCAAGGTCCTGTTCAGCTGCAGTGCTTGTCCCAGAGCCCTGGCTGCACCAGCCTGGATGAAGTTCCACTGCAGGCTGGAAAGACACAGACACATGACCACACAGCCCAAGAATAGAGCTAGAGAGGTCCTGAGGAACCCAGGAGGCTCTGGTGCTGCATAAGTCTGTGTAAGATATGGCAGAGGGGTTCCTGAAGTTCCCTTCAGGCTCAGTCCCCAGGGGGGACAAGCTCAAGTCACATGTAGTCATGGGGACAAGCTCAAATACTTCTCCATAAAGCATAGGTCACCCCAAGCCACAGCCATGACACCTCATTCTAGGTCATTCTGGGGAATTGAATTCTGGGAATTAAACCCAGGGTAGGCATACCAGCTGGAAGCAGGTAGCCTGGGGAAGCCTCAGTGGCATCCCAAAGCCAGGTTCCATCTGCCACACCTGCTTTGTGAGGAGCCCTGCAGCTGGGGAGGGTGGAGATGGGGGAGGCATGGGCCCAGTAGACTTACTGGAGATGTGTGAGGGAGTGGTTTTCTCCCACTGCTGCTGCAACGGCCTGGCCACCTTGGTCATGGAGGAGATTAGCTGTGAGGCTGGCAACAGGAGAGAATGAGCAAGTAAGTAAGTGGCACCGTGACCCCCTCTCCTGGTCACTAGGGGATCCCACCCATTCCCCATCCTCCCAAAAGACACTGGCAGCACTGATGTTAGGTTTGTGTGGCTCGTGCGTGTGGAGAACTCCAGTGTGCCAAGTAGACTGAGTACCCTATGTTCAGCTCAGTGTGGTTCAAGGCCATGTACCCAGGACACCAACTCTTTAGGGTCCTCTCCCATGTGCTTATCCATCTCCAGGGATAACGCTGGAGAGTTCTCGGTGTCAGGGTTGCCAGCAGATACCAGGTCTCCTTGCTGGCCCTTTCCAAATCAAGTCTTTGTCCAACCTTGTAATTTGTGAATGGTGCCAAGGGTCTAACCCATCGGAATGGTGTGTACCAACCCTGGTGTCTGAGGAGGTGGAAAACTCCTCTCCCTTGACTCCATCCCTCCAGACCCTACCACGTACTCCAAGTACTTCAGAGCACTGTTCATGCGGAGAGCTTGCGCGAGGGCCTGGGCTCCCTCTGGGCTGATGGAGTTTTCTCGTAGGCTGGGGAGAGATGAGAGTCTGAACATCCAGTCAGGCAGGTGAGGCTTCTGACAGAGCAAATCCCCAGAAACCACAGACAGGCCCGTGGCCTTCTGGGCCAAATGTGAAGGAATCTGTTCCAGCCAGCCCGGGCTATAATCAGGCTACCAACAGTCGAAGAACACACAGGAGGAAAAGGACGGGATCTGAGGTATGAGGAGCAAGCAGCACCTGAAGGACTTGTACTTAAGGGAGCAGCCCACTGGGGCCACAACTGACAAAGTAAGAAAGGGACAGGGTGCCATGTTCTAGAACCAAGCCTGTACCAACTACAGATTTCCCCCCAGCAGCTTTCTGTCCGAGTCCCAGAGGCCGTGTTCCCACTGGTCAAAGGGGCAACAAGCTGGCTGTGGGGGCTGGGGCCAGGACTTACTTGAGCCGGGAGAGTGTCTGGTTAGTGCAGAGGGCCCGCATCAGCTCTGCTGCCCCTGGGTTGCTGATGGCACTGCTCTGTAGGCTGCAAAGGACGGGTACTGTTGACGTGGCTGTCCCGGGAGGGAGCTGTCTGACCCAGCCAGACCCCTGGGCTCATTGAGGAGTTGGGAACCTGGAAAGTGCTCTCATCCCTCCTTCCTCTCCATCACTCCACCTTCTCCTCCTGCCTGGTAAAGCTGGGGAGATTTAGCATAAGCCCAAGGTTAGAGCCGCCCCACCCCACCTGCCGAGGCTTTTCTCCAGACACTCATCCCACTCAGCACAAGGCACGTATGTGGCCTTGTCATTCTAAAAACTGCGGAGAAGAGCTGGGAGGTGGGCTATAACGGGGGGGGGGGGGGCAGAAACAGTACAGCCTTAGGAGGCTCATGGAAATGGAGGGTTCTCAGGCAAACTCACTCCAAACTCTCCAGACCCTGGTTCACCTTCAGGGCCTCAGCCAAGGCCGTGGCACCTCTATCCCCAATGGTGTTACTGGAAAACCTACAAGAGACAAATGGTGGTGAGCTGCGCCTGGGGGTCAGAGCTCAGGGGAGACCACCTCTGTCTCAGGGTGTTGTGCAGTTTTGTTTGGGCTGTATGCATCTAGTCACTGCAGAGGACCCCTAGCTCCACTCTTTGGAAAAGAACTAAGGGTCAGCCCTTAGAGATACGTATTTGTGGAAACTTATGTGAAGATGGGCAAGAGATAGTGTCTCCTTCTGAGAGCAGGGAAGGAGTGATATGAGCACGCCTGTGACGTTGGGGGCTCACCCAGTTCTGGGAAACCAGGTTTCAGTTTTCCTTGTCCAGTACTTTGTATGCTAAGCCAACTAAACTATATTCACCTACCTATCAGTGCATCAGTGAATCTCTCATATACTCCTCTTTCCATCCAGGTAGCCGTCAGTCTATCTTCTCATCCATCCACCTTCCTACCCATCCAGCCACTCCTCCGTCCAGCCATCCACCCGTACATTCATCCCTTCATCCACCCATCTAGTCATCGCTGATTCTCCTGCTCACAAGTATGTGGGGTGGCCAGCCTTGTGCTTGGCACTGAGAATACTAATCTGGCCCTTCGGCCTTTTCTCACATGAGTTCCTTCAGACTCCTATTCTGCTTCAGGGCATCTGCCATCTGCTGGGCTCCTACAGACCCAATTAGGTTCTTCTGTAGCCTGTGAGAGATGAGAAGAGTCCATTAGCAAAGCCCTCCACAGTCACTCCCAGGCCAAAGCCAGTCTGGGTTTTGGGTGAAAGGTCAAGGACAAATAGTGAACCATCTCCACTTACACATCAGTGGAAAGGGTCTCACAGTGCACCTGGTTGGGAAAGTACAGCCGGAAGCAGGGGCACCATCGGCCCCTGCTCCCACCTTGAGAAGCTTTCCTGGGGAGAGGTATAGAAGGACAGAAGGGGAAGGGCCTCTCCTGTGTGATGCTGAAACACCCACCAAACAAAGGAAAGAGACAGGAGCCTGTGAAATGGCTTAGCAGGTAAAGGTGCTTGCCATCAATCCTAGAGACCTGAGCTCAATCTCTAAGACCCACAAAGGGGAAAGAGAAAACCAGTTCCTGCAAATTGTCCTCTAACCTCCATACTTATGCCATGGTGTGTGCATGCATGTACACATACATAGACAATAAATAAAAAGATGATAAAAATAATATACACCGTACATGTCCATATATCTTTTTTTAAAGAAAAAATACATCTCCCCTTTCTAGATTATTTTTTGAGGAGACTATAGGTTATAAATCCTTACTCTCTCCTGTTGAGATATGCTATTTCCTTACCCGCTCAGTCAGCTTCCTCTGGCTTCACAGCCCAAGTGTATGTTTCTTGGCTCTTTGTTTTGTTTTGTTTTGTTTTGTTTTGTTTTGTTTTGTTTTGTTTTGTTTTGTTTTGTTTTGTTTTGTTTTGTGATAGAGTCTCTCTTTGTAGCCCAGGCTGGCCTTGAACTCACAGAGGTCTGCCTGCTTCTACTGAGATTAAAGGTGTGCACCACCATGCCTGGCTTCCTGGGGTCTTTATAAGGGTCTTGGGGCCTTCTTTTCCAATAACTATCAGAGAGGATAATGTCCTTATCTCCCTGCCACTGTGGGCATTAGGCTGGCACCTGGCTCCATGTTGTCATGAACTGATCATCATAAAGGTTGGAGAAGTTAAGAAGCATCTGCTGAGCTTAGGATAAGCTGCTGCAAAGTGCTGCCAGCCCCTCTCACTGCAAGACAACTTGTCATTGACCTCAGGAACGTGCATGGAAGGGGTTGCCTCTGCTGGGCTGTAGGAAGCAAGGAGCCCTCTCTCTGCAGCCTAACTGGCAGGTTGCCATGATGTTGCTTTACAGTCAGATTAGTTGCTTATTCAATAAAAGTGATTTTATGGATTGGCAGGAGTTTTTATTTTCAGTAATTCCTCATACCTATTCTCTGGGAAAGCAGGTGACATCGTGTTTTTCAGGGACTGGACGTGGGTCAGAAAGCCTTAGGGTTGTCTCCCGCTCTCCCTGTCAGAAACAAGCAGAAGCCCCGGAGAAGAGAGGGGATGCAGTGAGAGTTATGTCTACTCACTGTAGCATGGAGAGAGTCTGACTGGAGACCAGGGCCTCTGCCATGCACCTGACACCATCATCCTTGATCACGTTGCTCTGGAGGCTACAGAGGTAAGAAGGAATGTGTCACTACTAGAATATAAGAGAGGCCCAGCAGTAGCCTGAACTCATACTGCAGGAGGAGAAAACCAAAAGAAAAAAGAACAATAGTACACCCTCAAATATGGATACAGCCACAGACTCCTAAAAGGGACACAGCAGACCAAACCCACACAATGCCATCTTCTGGAAGGCAGGTTTGTCAATGCCCTGAGAAACCTTGGGGGCTTACAGAAGCACACAGAGTTGGGAGAATCTAGAACCTGGAGCGAGCTTCTGCCACCTCTCCCACTCCACAGTATCTCCTGGGGCCAGGGCTTTGTTTTCCTCCCCTGGGGCAGGAGCTGGCCACTTACCTTAGAGAGGTCAGAGTTCGGTTTATCTTCAGAGCATCTGCTAGAGCCTTAGCCCCCTGTGGTCCAATGGCATTACTCCGGAGGCTGGTGAAGAGACAGGAAAGTGCTGGGGTGGGAAGAGGGAGCAAAGTGCCACCAACATTTTACATTTATAACCCTTAAAAGAAATGAATTGGGCTTAAGGATTTCATGTTTGATGGAATGGAACCATGTCAGAGCTCGTGTGTGTGTGTGTGTGTGTGTGTGTGTGTGTGTGTGTGTGTGTGTGTTTACACAAAGGAGTTCCCCCAAAGTAGCCCACGTGCTGAGGGAAAGGGAATAGATGTGATGCTCTAGTGAGCTAACTGTGGAGATGACAAAGATGATTCCAGGTCGGAGTCAAGAATCGAGCGTTTTGTGAAATGAAGTCCAAGAGGCAAAAGCAGTCATGACTTGGCTTTGTCAGCTGTCCTTCCAGCCAAGAAGGACAAGCAGTCTACAGGGCTGCAGAGCACTGCCACGGCTTCCAGTGGGTGAGTCCGGGAGTAGAGGAACGATAGAGGAAACTCAAGACACTTCATAGACAGGGAGATGACTTAAAATTCTCTCCCTTAGAGCCTTGTAGTGTCCTACTTACTCTAGTATGATAAGACTTCTGTTGACCAGGAGGGATCTGGCCAGAGCTCTGGCCCCTTTGTTACCAATCTGGTTCTCAGCTAGGCTGTCAGCAAACAAACAAACAAAAGCAAAGCAAAACAAAACAAAACAAACAAACAAAAAAACGAGAGGGAGGTTATTTCAAGTTTGTGACTCTCAGTGCCTTCTCTTCGATATTAGGCTCATGATTAACCCTTGCTTTCCCAGCAAGGTGACTATGGAGCAGAAATCCAGGAGGAGAAAGACCCCGAGCCTGGAAGGTAGAGCCAAAGTGGGCCAGATGACCTTCACTCTGACAAATGGTCCAAGGGAACTCGTCCAGCCTCTCCTGCAGTAGCTACTCTGCAAATGTGCAGCAAGAGATTGAACAATGGAAGTCTTTCATATGGAGCCAGCAAGATGGTTCAGAGTACTTGCTACCAAGCCTGACAACCTAAATTTAATCCCCAGAAACCAAATAATAAAAGGAGAGAACTGACTCTTACAAGTTGTCCTCTGACCTCCACATATGTGCTGTGCTGTACCGCACACTCACCCAAGCGCACACATATGCGCACATACACACACTAGCACAAATATAGTAAATTCCTGAAAAATCCGTAGCACTCAGAAACCAGTACAAGCTAGTGTTCACAGAAACCAATACAAACTAGTGTTCACAGACTAGTACAAAAAAGTTTTCATAAACTAATACAAACTAGTTTGAGCATACCATGGACTCTAGTCCTTCTCTAGTACAAAACAGAAAATGGAAGAATTATCACAAAATTAACTTAAGTTTAAAACAGGTTCGTCTTTATGTGCCTGGGAAGGGTGGTTCCAACGGGGTACTGGTGGATCTACTCAGGGCAGAAGTATAGCAATCACTAAGGCTTTAGTTTTGTAGGCAGCATAAAGTTGTCCATTAGAATCCCTGCAATGTTCGAATCAAGTGTATTCCAAGGGCAGTTTGGGATCCTAGTACCAGAGGCCAGCAGGAAGACCAAGAGAAGTGGACCAAGTATTTCAACATCACCAGTTCCCCCTTTGTCCATTTTATTCACCACTTTTCTTCCCCCACCCCACCCCCGAGACAGGATTTCTCTGTGTATCCTTGGCTGTCCTGGACTCGCTTTGTAGGCCAGGCTGGCCTCGAACCCACAAAGATCTGCCTGCCCCTGCCTCCCACACCCAGCTTATTTATCAGTTTTCAAATGAGTTCTGTTGCTTAAAAATAAATTTGAGCTGGGTGTCGTGGTGCACCCCTTTAATCCCCAACATTTGGGAAGCACAGGCAAGCTGATCCAGCCAGGTGCTGAGGGTGTGGCTCACGTAGGTAAGCCTTGCCCAGCCTGCCTGACACCCTGGTTCCATCGCAGCCTGGAACAGACTGGGCAGACTGACACGTCGCTGTAACCCAGCACTCAGAGGGAGCAAGGTGCAGCAGCAGCTCACCTAGAGAGCGAGTTTGAGGCAAATCGGGACTACTCGAGACCCTGTGTCAAGAAAGGAAGAGAGAGAGAGGGGGGGGGAAGGAAGGGAGGGAGGGAGGGACGGAGGGAAGGAGGAAGGAAGGAAGGAAGGAAGGAAGGAAGGAAGGAAGGAAGGAAGGAAGGAAAGGAGGAAGGAAGGAAGGTATGAAGGTAGGAGAAAAGGAGAAAGATTTTGAGGCTTCAGAGAAGGCTCAGCTGTTAAGAGCATTTGTTCTTGCAGAGGATCTGGGTTCAATTCCCAGTACCGACATGGTAAGTCACAACTATCCTGAACTCCCATTCAGACTGTCTTCTGACACTGTCTGTGGACACAAAAAGCAAGCCATGGCACATATCTACATGCAGACAAAACGTCCATACACATAAATCAAAAAATGTTTTTAAATTTTTACCTTAACATTAATTTAAATTGGGCTGGAGGAATGACTCAGCGGCTCTTCCAGAGACCCTGAGTTCAGTTCCCAGCACCCACATGGTGGCTCACAACCATCTACAATGTGATCAGATGCCCTCTTCTGGCCTGCAGGTGTATTTGCAGATAGAGCACACATACATAAGATACATAAATCTTTTTTTAATTATTTAATTTGAAAAGCAAACTTTTAAATTTTTAGCTAAAAATGCAATCCTGTGCGCACAATATTATTAGGAAGTAGATATTGAGAGGAGCACAGAGAAGGTAAAGGCCGAGCCAGGCCAGCACAGCGAGCCCCTGACAGAGTCTGCGCCTTACCCAGTCATTTCCCTTTTCTTACAGTCCAGGCGCCTGGTCCTCGGGCACCTTCTAAGAGGGGCAGAAAAAAAGCAGACTGCGTTCTGAACCTCACACTGAAAAGACACCTGTTCTTGGGGTGCCACTGGCTAGCTGAGTGGAGGGAGACAAGATCTGCTCCCGGGCCGCAGGGAGGTGCGCCGGGCGGTGTGTTACCTGATGCTTTGGATGCGGCAGTCCTTCCCACTCAGCACGCTGCCCAGCAGCTCCATCACAGGGTCCTGGAACTGGTTGTTGTCCAGCCTTGCGGGGGGCGAGCAGGACAGTGAGCCGCCCTGCAGCCCGTGGGCGGGCGGGGCCTCCCACCTCTCATCCCCACTGCGGTCCCGAGGTCTGAGCGCAGAAGCGCACTCCCAGCACTCACACTTCCCCGTGGGAGGGGCCTGAGGAGGTTCCCGTGAGCCGTGTGCTTCCCCTTGGGGGTCCTCTTACAGCACATTGTCACACGGCTCCGCATAGCACGTGCCTGCGTGGAGCACTGTTGGCTAGCTTTGCTTCTGAGGATGTCAAAGCCACTCTGAGGTCCTGACTAGCCCTTGTCCTTCGTCTTTTCTTGCTTTGCTTGCTAGGTTCAGAGTACGACTAAGAGTGTGGCTTCTGCCAACAGACTGGCTTAGACAGTCTGTGTGTGTGTAATATGCATACCTACATGTATACATACAAATATACATATATATGTTTAAAAAACCTTGCTGTGTAGCCCAGGCTGTCCTGGAACTCAGTACTCTTTACTGTTGGGATTACAGGTATGAGTCACAACGTCTGGTCTCAGAGGGCCTCATCAGTTGGATTATATTTCCATGTTGCAAGTCTAGCCTTGCTGTCTTCAGAATGCAGCTTTATGTGGATGTAAGCTCACTGCAGATGTAATAGCTAAGAGACATCACCCCAACACAGGGTGGACCTATAGTCATTATGATAGTGCCCGTATAGGGAAAGTAAGGCCATGTGAGGACAGTCACAGGAGCTACGGTCACGAGACAGAGGAGGCTAAGAAGCCTCCAGGATGGCTGGCCTGGCCCCCAGGTGTTCCAGAGGCAGAAAGGGCCCTCTTGCCGTGGTTTCAGAGTACCGCCATGCCTTGACCTCCGACTTCGGCTTTCAGAACTAAATCAGTTGCCATGATGGTTTAGCGCCTAGCTGTGAAACTTTGCTGTAGCAGTCTCAGCAGACTACAGGGAAAGGGGCTTGATGAAGCAAGGAACCCTTTTGAGTCTTTCTCCTTTGCCCCTACCCCCGGGATGAAGCCCACACTCACCTGAGGCTCTGACAGTAGAGCAGCTGGGGCAGCAGGCTCTGGAGGACGCTCTGGCTGAGGCACAGGCCTAAGCTGGCCTCTGGGGAGCAGACATCGGACTTCTGCAGGAGGTAGGCCAGAGCGGTGCGGTGTGCGGGGCTGGTCATCCCAGCCAGGGCTCCGCTCTGCATGGCCTCCTCCACACTGCCGGCCAGCGCCGTGTGCCGCAGCTCATGCAGGCAGTACAGGACATTGACGGCGCGTGCGCAGATTGCAGTGTCGGGATGGAGGAGGCTGTGGAGGACCTCGGCCACCTGGGCCCGGTAGCTCTGGTGCTCGCCTTTTGCCAGCAGAGAGCCAGCCAGAAGAGTGTTGACCCCTGGGGACAAGAGGCCTGAGAGGAAGCGCAGAAACACGTCCAGCCTCCCGTCCTTCGCTTGTGTGGCCCGCTGGGCGGCACATCTGAAATGAGCGAGGAAGCCCAGCCGGGGCCAGGACACGCCGCTCTCGGTAAAGAGGTCAAAGATGGCCCTCTTGGATGCACTGTAGTAGTACGTGGCTGCCACGAACTCTTGCAGAGACAGGTGAGTGAAGGAGTAAGCTACCGAGGAGGCCAGAGTCTCCTCCCGGTGCAGCAGGCAGCCGCACAGAGAGCTCTGCAACAAAGCGAGGTCCACGCCAAATGCCTTCATGTCTTGCTCATAAAACACATATTTCTTCTTGACCAGCCCATGGAAGGCCAGGCGGCCCAAGGTTCCTACCATCTTGCGAGCCCCCTGGGCCGCTTGCTCAATCCTAGGACTTACCTTGGCCTGGCGGTTCGCCTCCCCTCCAAGGGCCATCCTAAAGTACCACGAGTAGAGTTCGCACAGGGTCTGAGGCAGTGGCAGCTCTGCGTCTTGGACTGCCAGCCTGGTGTGGTAGAGGTGACCCAGGGCCAGCCCTGTGATCCTGCAGAAGGCTGGGACGGTACACATCAGATACAGAGCCCTATTGGCCTGCACTTGAGTCACTACCTGACCCAGGAGGCTCCGGTCCTCGGGAAAGATCTGCTCCAGGCACGCTTTGATCTCCTCTTCAGTGAGGCCCCGAATCTCAGTCATCCGGTCCACCAGGCCTCCAGGGATCTGACCGGCAGCACCAGGACGGGAGGTGATCCAGACAGAAATCTCTGGGAAGAGGTTTCCCCTGATGATGTTCGTGATCAGGTGGTCTACCTGGATCTCCTTCTTCGGGTCTGTGCAGGCCATCGTGTTGGAGAATTCCAGGGGCGTCTTGCACTCATCCAAGCCGTCCAGGACCAGGAGGACTCTGTCTGGGACTTGCCCAGTGTCTGGGAAGATGGAGTGGATGAGTCTGTCTGCAGACAGCTTCTCATAGGTATTAAGATCCCGAAAGGTCAAGGGTAGAACCAATGAGAAGTCCTTGCCCACTTGTCCTCTGGCCCAGCAACGGACGAAATGCCTAACCAGAGTAGTCTTGCCCACACCAGCCACTCCGATGGTGAGAGAGATGCGAGGTGGGATGGACACCCGGGACAGAGGCAGGAAGAGCCTGTCCAGGGTGATGGCCCTGGCGGCAGGCCAGACCCCACGTGTAGCCTCCACCTGAGTAAAGTCATGCTCCCTTAGTTGCAGATCCGTCAGGCCCTCTACGAGCACGAGGCTGGCCAGCTGATGCGAGGGGCTGCCCGGGTCTGGGTCGTTTCCCACCCTGCTCAGCAGGGCCTCACAGTGCCTCCTTATCCTAGAGTCTGCAGGACACAGGAAAAACAGGTGAGGCCCCAGGCAAGGTGAGAGGGCTTAGCTCCCTCCCCTGGCCCCACCCTCCATGGAAGACTCACCATTGCTTTGGGACCCCAGTGGGGAGTCTGGTATCTTGTTAGCAGCCTGCAGCAGCTGACCATCCTTCTCAGCAAGTAGATCCACGAGGGCTTTCACCTGCTCAGCTGGGGAGCCAGCACTGTAGGCCAGGGATGTCTCCCTGACCGGCCACACTTCTTGCTTCCTCATGGAGCCTGTGGTTGCAGCCAGGAGCTGTGAAGACAGAGCCAAGACTGCAGCCTGGTGGACCTGTGTTGTTTCCTGGCCGGGGATAATCATAAAGGTGCAGGGGCCAAGTGAGTGGGACTTGGAGTTCTGCACTTGGACTCTGGCTCCGCCACTTAGCTGGGCGACTCTGGGCAGGCTGTGTCACCTCTCTACATCCTGGTTTCTTCAGTTGTGACCTGGCAATGGTGATGCTGTTATGAGCAAGGAAACCAAAATGAGGGAGGAATGAAGTAGCAAATCTGGGAAGGAAATGGTGCGTGAAGCCATCTAGTTAACATTCTGGGAAAGGCAGAGAATGGAGATGGAAAGAGCGTGGAGGTCGGTGGGGGCCAGGGCCAGGGACTCCGAGACAGGGACCCTGCTCGGTGTGACACTGTAACGGTGGGTGTCACTGCACTCTGCAGGTGGGCCCTAGTGTAAACTGGGCTTTGTGCCAGGTAAGCTATGAACCCAGGTTCCCACTGCAGCAAAGGCAGCACCGAGGTGTGGACGGTGGAGTCCGATAGACAGGCAGAAGCACATGGGAACTCTGTCCCTAATCATCATTCTTCCGTAAGCCTAAAAGTGCTCTAAAAAGTAGTATTTTAATTTTTCAAAAAGGAAACAGAAGCCAGGTGGTGTCGGCACACACCTTTAATCCCAGTACCTGGGAGGCAGAAGCAAGTGGATCTTATGAGTTCGAGGCCAGTCTGGTCTACAAAGAGAACATGACAGCCAGGACTACACAGAGAAATTCTAGGAGGAAAACAAAAACAAAACAGAAAATGGAAGGAGAAGGAGGAAGGGGAAGGGAAGGCAGATAGCTCTCGGAACAGCAGCATACTGCTCCTAGCCTTTCTGGAAGCTTGGGGCGCTGAGCCTGTAGGAAGCACCATTTGATGCTGAGGACAGTGATACAGAGATAGCAAGATGCAAAGCCGTGCCGTGCCCCACCTGCCCACGCTCTTTTGCCAAAGCCGGCTGCTTGCTTGATGCTGTCCTGCAGCCAGTCCCATCCCATGTGTGTTCTTCCTCATCAGGTACAGGCGCTACCACAGCCCCCTAGGGACTTGGAGGCAGAGACCAGACACCCACTCTTTATAGTTCTAGAAGAGAAAACACAGTGGGGGAGGGAGTCAGCCACAGCCCTGTTTAAGATGACCCAGGAGTTGTCACTGCCAAGAATCTGCCCGGTGCTGGCCGCCCCGGGTTCTCTGGGTCTCAGTGTGACCACCCCAGAAGGGGTGGTGGTTGTCGACAGACACCTGGTTTTGAACTTGGGCTCGAGATTGGGGTCAATTTAACTGAGCACGAATATTGAATATTTTCATACAGAAAATGCTAAACACTTAGCAGGAAAAAAGCAACCATTCCATTCATAGCCATGCTGACGAGTCAATCAATGCAACATGTTTAAGGCTTACGTCTAATAAGCTAGACCACTCTTTCTACACTCCTGCAAAACCCTGCTGGATTTTACTGTTTTCATTTTCTAAATGTTCAACCAAGGGGAAAATCAAGTGGGATTACGGCCGATGCTGTGGTATCTGTTTTGGTTTGTTCTTTTCTTTCTTTTTTTTTTTTTTCTTTCTTCCCTTTTTTTTTTTTTTTTTTAAATAGGGTTTCTCTGTGTAGCCTCGTCTGTCCTGGATCACTCTGTAGACCAGGCTGGCCTCAGAGCAATCCATTTGCCTCTGCCTCCCAAGTGCTGGGATGAAAGATGTGCCACCATGCCTGGCTGTTTGGATTTGGATTTGTGTTCACACTTAGATCTTTTTATAGATTCGCTAGTAAAACCTTGTTTGTTTGTTTTTTTCCTATTCAGAGCTTGGAAAGTAACAGTTTCCTACCTGAATCTAAGTACTTGTAAAACAGTGTTGCTGTCATTCTGAATATTGTTAGTATAAAGATCAATTTTTGTATTTTATCATATTTCAACAAATTAAGTATTTTTGTTGACATCACTTTTCTGTTAGTTTTTTTCAGGCTTTCAGAATTTCGATAGGAATAGTGTCATCTTTTAAAATAAGATGTATGGGCCAGGCACATTGGCTCGCGCCCATAATCCCAGCACTCAGGGAGGCAGGGACAAGTGGCTCGCTGTGAGGCCAGCCTGGTCTACAGAGGGAGTCTAGGACAGCCAAAGCTACACAGGAAATGCTGCCTCGAAAAACAAACTAAATAAATAAATAAAGACTTGTGTTTTGTTTATGTGTGCATGTAGTCCTGTCCGTGTGGGTTTGTGCACATGCCTGGGTGTGCCCACAGGGGCCAGAAGAGGGCGTCAGATCTGCTGGGGCTGGCATTATAGGTGGTTTGGGCCTAAAGCATTGGTCCTCTGCAAGAATAGTATGTACCCTTTTATGTGTCCTTAACTGCTGAGCCATCTTTCCAACCCCATCCTTTCATCTTCTTATTTCTGAATTATCACTCACGTTGACAGTTTCACTGGCTGGGCAGCCAGTTGCCTTTTCCCTGGAGCAGTACTGGCAGGCAGTCCTGTACTGTGTGCCAGGAGTGGCTCCGGATAGAACTATTGGGTATAATATTTGGGTAGGTTTCTGGTTAGCTTTCTTGTCCTCTTGGGGATGACTCCCTGTTTCTCTCACCACTCAGCTAGCGTTGTGTGATGTTTCCCAAAGCATGCTACATCGCACACCTTCTGTTGCACACTCCATATTCGCGCCGTTCACTCCACCTGGGATAAGGCCCTCTTTGCCTTCGCCTCTTACTTCATAGAACACCGAGGTGAGACGCTTTCCTAAGAACACGTGGCTGGGAGGCATGGCTGCTGAGCTGGGATGGAAACCAAGGCCTCATTGGTCCCTCAGCTGTGCTGCTGCCTCTGTAGCAGGTATACATGTGGTTTAAAAACTTGGTCACTGGGCATGGTGGATGGCTGTAATCCTGGCACATATATATATATATATATATATATATATATATATATATATATATATACATATATTATAATGGAGGAATGTCTGTTAACTAGAAAGTAGTTTTTATTCATCCATTTATTCAACCAGCAAAATTTGAAATGTGGGGTGTGTGTGTGCGTGTGTGTGTGGTGGTGTACGTGTATGGTATATGCTCACAGGTCTGTGTGATAGTACACACTCATGGAGAGGACAAGGATGGATGTCAGGTGTCTTGCCGTATCACATTCTACATTATTCCACTGACACAAGCTCTCTCACTGAACTGGACCTACGCTGGCGGCAGAAAGCCCCAGAGACCCTCCTGGCCCGTGCCCCACAGCGCTGGGATTATCACCGCACACAGCCATGTCCAGCTAGTTACATGTATACCAAGGACTTGAACCCAGGTCCTCACACTTGTCCAGCAGGTATTCTTTTCCCCTGAGCCACCTCCCAGCCTCTAATCTGAACACTTGCTTGCTTTGTTTATGAGATGGTCATTAGTGTGGCCCTGGCTGGCCTGGTACTTCCTTTTTAGCCCAGGCTGGCCTGTAACTCATGGGGTCTTCCTGTCTCCTTCTCCCAAGTGTTGAAACTACAGGTGTGTGTTACTGGAAATATTTATTGAGGGTATCTTACGTGTGTAGAACAGGGAATGTGAACGTGAGCAAACTGGCAAAGTCCTTGTCCTGTGATGGGGAAACAGTGACTGTGAAGGAGGAGGAACAAAGCGACGAGTGACATCGCAACAGGGTGACAGGAGCTGCTGTCTCTGTGCTGGACAGAGGAATGGATGGCTGACCTCGGAGGCTTCTCTGACCCTCACAGATGGCAGACGAGGAAGGGCAATGGGACTGGGGAGCTGGCTTGGTGGGGGAGGGCTAGCTGCACCCATGTGAAAGCTGGGCAGAGTGAGGTGTGCCTGTGTGCCCAGGTTTGGTGTCTCAAACATTAAAAAAAAAAAAACAAAACGTAGAAATTGTTCAGGAGGACACACAATGTCTGCTCGTGTTCTCTAGCCATACGTACACAGGCATGCACGCTTGCATACACACCTAACACACGGACACACAGGTGACACAAATTAGAAGGAGTAGACAATGAAGGGAAGAGCATTATAGACAAAGGAAGCAGCTAGACGGAAAAAGGGAAGGAGGGTTAGAGGGTGGCTCGGTGGTTAAGCTTGCTGCCTTCCAGAGGTCGGAGTTCAGCCCTCAGTATCCACACGAGGCAGCCCACAACTGCCTGGAATGCCAGCTGGCCTCTGAGGCACACACACACACAGACAGAGAAAAACAACATGTTTTAAATTTGTATTTATTTGTGTGTGTGGCGTTTTGCGTGCATGTCTGTGCAGCATGTGTGAGCCTCATGTGCGTGGAGACGAGGAGGGTTTCCGATCCCCTGGAACTGGAGTTACATGGCTCTGAACTGCCACGTGGGTGCTGAGATCCTCTGGAAGACAGGTAGTACTCAGCTACTGAGCCGCCTCTCCAGCCTCAAATACATATTTAAAAATAAGTGAGTAGCCTAGCAGCGGTGGTGTACGCCTTTAGTCCCAGCATTCAGAAGGCAGAGCAGGTAGATCTCGGATTTCAAGCCTAGCCTGATCTACAAAGTGAGTTCCAGGACAGAAGGGACTACACAGAGAAACCCTAGATAGATAGATAGATAGATAGATAGATAGATAGATAGATAGATAG